GATTCTCGAAGATTCTTGGGCAACAACAAACTTCACTATTCTTAGAATAGCTTCCACAAAAAAGTAAGATTTAATCAATATCAAGATTGTTTCGCCCGTAACTCCATTTGCAAATGTAGTTTTCCTATGGAGTTAATTACTTATATGGAGCAATAAACTACCTACAACAATTTTAAAAGTGCACATCTGAATTAGACAACACTTGTAGTGATACAACATCTAACCAATATTTTAGTTAATTGCTCTTCTACAAAATTTCTTTTCTCATTCGATTAATAATTTAATTTTTATAAAAGGCAGAAACTTACCAAATATCATAGTACTGGTTTTCCGTACATATCTTCAATAAATCTTCATAAATCAACAAACACACGTCAAAAATCGATTTGATTGAAGTATCATCATTCTATAAGGGATCTATGGGGTCCGCGATGGGCGAGTGTCCATGGTAGACGTACCCCAGAAGAACAATCTATTGACAAAAATTACAGATATTCTTCGGTGGATTCTGTGGTGGAGCATTGCACGCGGCCGTTTAACCGCCGTTCGCTCCATACAGAATCCTTTGTAATCGTCCAAAAAAATTTTTAAATCAGTCTCAACTAGGTGGATTTAGTGTTCTCAGTATTTAGTGAACATTTTAAAGTGAAGCGGGGGGTGTCGGTTTTTTGGCATCGGTCAAAATTGTTTTTTGCTAGTTGAGCAAATATTATATGTCTTCTTTGTACGTGTTGGTCCATGACCAAAAGCGAAGATCCTCGACGGAAGTCCGCATTGGGCGAATGATCCTAGAAGTCAAGCCCACATTTTTTGTGAAACGCATAATTGAATTGAACTGAATATTCTTCGGTCTTTAGTTTCCACTTATAATATTCCATATGTCAGATACACTGAAATTTGGGTGTAAGATATTACAACATAATAATAATATGTAATAATTTTAACACATTCGCTACCACATATTACAGAAAGTGATACTAATAAACGCAAACTAAATAATATAAACATTTTGAAACACAAAAATATTGCTTGTTATTTATTCTTGTATATATATTTTTTTATAATAATTTGTTTACGTCTTGTCCTTTTTGAATTTATATTATTAAGTTACTTACTTATGAGATGATCTTAAGATCTTTGGCCTATTTGTGTTTTAAATTTATTTGTAATATCTAGAGCGATCGAGAAGCAATGCACTTATATTATATATTATATTCCAGTAAGCTGTAACTGTTCGTTAAAGTGTTTTCTATAGACTTACCTTGCCTGAATGTATATTGATGTTTATTTAATGTTATGTTGTCCTCTAATCTTTCTTTAAGAACCTTCTCAACAATTTTTGGTTATAGGTGATACTGGTCGATAGTTTTTTTTTGAGATTTTTGTCGCCTTTTTGATATATCGGTTTTGCGATTGAGATTTTAAATTCTTCAGGACATTTTGTTTATTAGGTTGTAGTGTTTCCGTTTAAAACATGGTGATTTTTTTTTTAATTTCAGCGATTCTGTAATTTGTACTATTTTTTCGGAGGCGGATTGTTTTGTTTTTTGTCCTCACTTTTCAGTTGTTAAAAGTTTCTTCGATTTTAAAATCTTTATTAGTTGTTACTTGTGCTGCACTTTTTGTTTCTATTACATTGTTTGTTTGTTTGTTATATTTACTGTATTCCAGAGTGCTTTAGCGTTTCCCGTGTTCCATTTAAAATAAAAACGTTGTAATTATGCTAATGTTTGGTTTTAAACTAATTGTAGGGTTTTACACTTGCCGTCTAATCTAACCTTACTAACACATCTTTATTCAGAATAGTTCTTGGCGCTTTATTTTCCAAATCGAGGCCCGCCATCTATTAACAAACTGTGTAGGTAACAATAAAGTAAACTGCAAATGTTTAAATGTCTCCAAAAATGCCAAAGCTGGGACGATTAAATTCAATACGTGGTAGTTTTCGAACGTGCAGAATTCAAAAATGCTAACGACAGTGTTGTCATATTTACCGGATTTACGTTACACGTCGTAATTTCGTTACGGCCTATCAATTTTTGATGCAATGAATTGCACATATCGAATTTAGTAAAAAAATTAGTTGCAAATTAAAATTGGCAACAGCGGTGTTGTCAGATTTACCCCGGCAAATAAAGAAAAAACTTCGGAGACATTTAAACTTTTAACTCGCCCTGTATAGAGCAATCACTCGTGTCGTCTCGCGCTTTCAAACAGCGGTCTCCCGACGCGTCACCAAAAACACATTTTTTCGGCGGACCTGTCACTGCGCGATAGCATCTAGCGCGAAACACGACAATTTTTTACGCCGGCCATGTTTGAAAGCTATCGCCTTCATCTCTCATCGCGCGCGTTTTATTAAATTCGGCTGTCCGCCGTCATTCATCGAACTGATCGATGTTAATAACCCGTCCGATGGTGCTTACATTACGTCATTTTTGTTTTAATCTGGGGTTCTTTGAACAAAAGCTGCTTCTAGGCATTAATAACGTTTATTTATTTGGAACAATTCAGTACGTAAGGTATATTCTGTCCAGATATTCATCGCGGTGAACCAATAAAATTTAATCGATCTTATTACCTATTGTCATTGGGTAAAGCCATTAACAAAAAAAATATTCTCCCTTGAGTGAAAAGGCAGGGGTGGGCAAGGTATATTTCTTTCTTTCTAACATAACTGACCAAAACAGGTTGTGAAAAATGTGTAAGAAACTTTAATCATCAGAGGACTTATCCAACCAGAAGCTTTAAATATCGTAGATAAGGTCGATTAATAGTGAAGAACTGAAGAAAATGAATAAACGTGATTTACAAACTCACCTTGGATAAACTGGAATAGAAGCTAGAAGAAGACGAAACCAATTTAAATATAAGCCGTGCCACCCTCATTATGTACCGCAAAATAGACAAAAGACGAGTAGTAATGTGCCGAACTTTTTGAAAATAGAACAGTGTTATTGTCATGAAAAGCGTCAGCCTCATCAAGTTCAAAAACTGAAATCCAGGAATTTGTGTCAGAAAATGATATTGATCATGTATTAATAAATATAGATTGCAAAAAATTCAAAACGGCTTTTGGAGATTTATTTTCGTCTTGCGTAAATTTGATAGGATTTCCCACAAAATCGAGAAACTTAACGGGCTAAAAATTGACAGTACTTTCAAGTACTTTTTCGTAATGTTCAATCAGAGAGTTTCAGCCACCCCTACAGACTCTCACTGCCACGATATCGTTTATCTTTGTTCCGCAGATCATTTTCTTATAACACTCTTGTAATTTTTAATAGTATATCTGATTCAGTAAGGTTTAAAAATTACCCTAAGTATTCTTTGTGCTGTACAAACACCCCTTCAGCATCACTAGCTTGCCCCCAGTTCACAATGTTGTAAGAAATTGAGGAGTATGCCGAAGCATAATAGAAGACTAATAGTGATCTCTCGAGAAATGAGTCTCTAATTGTTAATATTGCAAAAAATGTTTTATTTAGTTTGCTACAAACACTATGTATGTCCTGATCCCCACCGCGGTGATGTAGGAGCCAAGAAATCTTGTGCTCTGACTTTTTTCTAAGGATGTTCCAGAGAATCTAAAGGATAAGTCATGTGAAGGTCTAATGGACTGGCCAGTAAATTGAAAATTTATGATTAGATGATTTGGCTTGAAAAATTTATTAAACTGTTCAACAGCAACAGAGATATTATTTATCAGCTCCTGCGCGTCATTCCCGGAGACCAACACGGACGTGTCGTCCGCGTACATAAAAACTCGACAGTTACTGTTAAAGATTATATATATTTAATGACATTGTTTTTTCTTAGTGTTAATTTAATACCCACCTAAATAAACAAAAAAAATATATTACCAAAACTTTGAGATAGCTTCCCTAATCTTCTGTCCTTTACCAGGAATGAGGACAAAAGCCAGAGGAAAGAATTTGTCTCTTGTTGTTTGATACAACCCTAATTTTCCTTCAAATCAACTTCAGACTGACTTAACGCTGATATAACATCTCCCCTTTCAAGACGCTCTGCAGTTCGATTCAGCAACAGAATATTTGTAAATAGTATTGCCTGCGAAAGTTTCTTCGAAAAATATTAAATATGGCTGCTGTCCATTCCTTATAATCTACATGGTTAAATCGATGATTCACATTAGTGGATCATAAAAAGTCATTACCGTCACCATTTGACTTAATCGCGTAACATCTGCGTTGTATTTGCTTCATTCAGAGACGTGACCTTTTTCCTTTCTTCTGGCACTTTTTGAAGATGGATTTGTTGACCAAATACTGGTATTGGAGAACACAAAGCCAACATTATGACTGTTTTGCTTATATTAAAGTTCTTGGTTTTGATTAATTTGTAATTCCACTTTTTTCCTTCCTTTAATTCCTTTCTTGATGTTTCTGGTTTCTGGTTAAGCCTAAGTTGTTACGCTTTCTTCGAAGGACAAATACATTTCTTCTTCCAACGTTAAAATACGTACCACAGTTCAACACTATTTGAAATAGTAATTGAGGATCGTTAACTTTTTGGCGTGCGGAGGAACATATTCAAATTCAGTTGTGGCAGTCGGATAACAGAGATTACAGATGTATTCACCGTGTTTTTTATAAGAACTTTTGCGCTTTTCCCAACTGGTTTTCATTGTACACCATATCTGGTGTTTTTATTGTGGTAAACATGGATGAGCTTCTAATTACAAATCCTAACAGTCTATATGGTTAATGGTTCGTTGTCAATTGTACATAAAGAATCAACGTTCTACTTTTTCCTTGTTCTTGACATATAGAAGCATTCTTCATTTTTGAATGGTGAGCAATATACTCTGCAGGCCCAGAGTTCTGAACTACGTCTGGCAAACCGTCAATCATCAGTAAAAAGAAAGGAGGTCCAAGATTCGACTACCAGATCTGTCTGATGTGCACATCAAAATATGTTGTTGAGTTTGAGTTTCTTTCTTCTTCTCGATATTAATAACAATTTTTTCCTCGTTTCAGTCTGCATCGGGACCAACGGACGTATGTCGGTGCCTTCGAATCGCGAACACCACTACAGGAACCTCAAGGACCGTTTCACCAACTGCACGTACGTCGACGGCAACCTCGAGCTCACGTGGTTGCAGGACGCGAACCTAGACCTCAGTTTCCTGCAGTACATCCGCGAGGTGACCGGCTACGTGCTGATATCGCACGTGGACATCAACATAGTGCTGCCAAGGCTTCAAATCATCCGCGGCAGGACGCTGTTCAAGATGAGCTTCAACGAGGACGAGTTCGCCCTGGCGATCACCCTGAACAAGATGTACCACTTGGAGCTGCCCGCGTTGAGGGACATCCTCACCGGCAGCGTGGGGATAATCAACAACTACAACCTCTGCCACATCAAGACCATCGACTGGAACGAGATCATCAGCGATCCGAAAGCAAAGTCTATGTACGTCTACAACTTCACCTCCGACGAGAGGGAATGCTCAGCGTGCCACAAGGATTGCCCGCGTGGATGCTGGGGTCCTGGGGTCGAGAACTGCCAGCAGTTCTCCAAGCAAACGTGCAGTCCGCAATGCGATCAGGGCAGGTGTTTCGGACCCAATCCCAGAGAGTGTTGCCATCTTTTCTGCGCCGGAGGATGCACCGGACCCAGACAAAACGATTGCATAGGTACGGTACATTTGTTTTGGAGGTATACTCGAACCAGAAATATAGTGCTTTTATAACCGACAACGACACCTAGGTCTTAGGAATTTATTTACCTACACTAACAAGCGGGATATAAGTATGTTTTCAATCTTTTTCGCCCAACAATCAGCAATAAAAAAATTAGTACAAAGTAACAATTTATCATTATCATTATTAATATACAAAATATTCAATATAATAATAATAAAATGTCAGGCACTTAAAAAATCGTCACTATCACTACTGTCATCACCTAGTTCACAGATAAATATTTTCTTATATTACTCGTTTTCACAGTTCTACCATCTTTGTACTGATATTATAGCAAACCTCTTGCCGAATTACGTTTATGGGTTAAATATACAATGATACCGGGATAATCTCAATCATCAATCTCAATCTGAATCATGTTTCGTCTAAATACAGTATTGGCCTATTTTGCTCTCGAAATTCTTTGAGATTCCGAAGGCAAATGGTTTTTTTATTGGCTGAGTTAGTTCTTCTCCTAAGTTATCTTATCCTTATCTACCGAGAATATTATCTATAGTCTTACGTAATCAAATTTGCGTTTCAAATAAAAATTTCAAGCTTCTACAAATATTCGTTACGGTCCATCTCAGGCAAGATATACCTAATGAAGAATAAACATCTGTTGGTATAGGTTTTACCACGGTACTGCGAAGGTCTGCGTTTAAGGTACTGTAAAATACTTAAAACCTCAAAGCAATAAATGCACTATACTTTTGGTTGTATTATACCCTGTCCCCAGTATACCTTTTTTCTACTGTAGGTTATTTTTACACGAAAAGTAGTTATTATATCTAAAATTATGGTTTCTAAAAAGCTTTTTTTGGACACTGTCTATCCTATCGACTTACCGATAAATCGGATTCCATCCAGTTGATCAGTATGTCAAGATAGATATAAAAAAATAAAAAGACAGTGAATAGATGTTCCCAATGAAAGTTTTCCTGAAGTTGGTTTCAGATGGAAATCATTCCAGTGTAACTATTACACAACTATCTGACACATAAATTAAAGACCGACAACATAATCCTTTACAACATCGTAACATTGTATCTAGTTGTAATTCACATGGAAAAAATGGATGGAGTACAAAAAATTAAAAACCCTGATTCAATAAATTTAAAAGTAGGTTTTTTAAATAACTTTTGTATATAAGCATTCGAAGAGGATTTTGTTTTTTAGTTGCTATGCAATTAACTAACCAAACGAAACATATCTGCCATTTTTAAGGTGAAAGTCTACAGATTGTATTTAATTATTGGAAATTGCTGTAGGCATACAGTGTGTCCAAATTTTTTGAGACCTCGCGACACAGAAAAACGACAAAATGGACAAAATTTTATAGAATTCTAAGCAACTAACTAACCAACCAACTAAGAAAAAAAGTTTGTAAAATTCTGAGAAAAATCCAAATTGTCCCAAACTGCTTGCTGTTGTCTGCAAACAATGTTAAGGATTTCAGGTTGGATTATGATGGGAATAGAAGTCCGAACTTTTTAAAAATTGGTTTCAAAACTATATTTTAAAAAATAGGCTGGGCATACTGTTTTACGTCTTCCTCCATATTATTGCTACTTTAACTCACAATATTATAAATTTGACAAAAAAATGTAATTAATAATATACCAAAATTATATTATAATTTATCTCAGTGATCATTCTGACAGTGAAACAGAATTAGATTTAGACATTTAGAAAAAAATGTAATTATGTATAGATATTCCTAGCTACAAATTTATTGGAGGTAAGGAATTTATTGGATTGGATCTCACACCTCAATGGCAATCCGTACAAACATTTTTGTAAAGTGTCCCCATTTCTCTAATGGCCCCCGAGATTCCCATGCATTGTACAGTCGTTTCCCATGCGAGATATGAAGGTAGTACGAATGCGAATCCGGGGAGCGAAGCTCGCGGGCGGGCCAGTCGGCGCGACGTTGCCGGATCGCGCGGCGTTTCCCCCAATCGATATTTTTGATAACTGCGGCGCGTTTTCAGCCTGCAGGAACTTCTACGACGACGGCGTGTGCACGATGGACTGCCCGCCGATGCAGATCTACAACCCGACGACATACTCGTGGGAAGTGAACCCGAACGGAAAGTACGCGTACGGCGCGACGTGCGTGAAGAAGTGTCCCGAACATTTGCTAAAGGACAGCGGCGCGTGCGTGCGGACGTGTCCGTTAAACAAGAAAGCGGTAGACGGTGAGTGCGTGTTGTGCGACGGCGCGTGTCCGAAAAGTTGCCGAGGAGACACGACCGTCCATTCGGGCAACATCGACAAGTTCCAGGGGTGCACGGTGATCGAGGGCTCGCTCAGCATCCTCGAGAATACTTTCAAAGGTTACCAGCACGTCTATCCGAACTATACGTTCGGCGAGAGGTACACGCCGATCCATCCGGACAGGCTCGAGGTGTTCAGCACGCTGAAAGAAGTGACGGGATACCTGAACATACAGGCGTACCATCCGGGATTCAAGAACCTGTCGTACTTCAGGAACCTGGAGGTGATTCGTGGTCGGGCGCTCTACGAGATGTCCTCACTATACATCGTCAAGACGTCCTTAGAATCCTTGGAGCTGAAATCGCTGAAGAAGATCGACATGGGCAGCGTTGCCATTTTAGAGAACAAGCACTTGTGTTTCGCGGGCGGCGTAAACTGGAACAAGATCATCAAGAAGCCGTCGTTCGTCGTATCGAACAACAGCGACATGAAGACGTGCAAGGAGAAGGGGTTCGTGTGCGACGAGCAGTGCAGCAAGGACGGATGTTGGGGCTCGGGCCCTACGCAGTGTCTGTCGTGCGCCCACTACAAGCTGGGGGACAAGTGCCTGAAAGACTGCTCCTCCGAACCTGGGTGAGTCCTTTTGATCGTCTCTTTTCAATAAAGTGTATCTTAAGGCATTATCACATCACCATCCGGTAAAAAAATCATCGGTTTTCAACTTTCTTGTTTACAGAGTTGTAAAACTGTCCTAGCCCGAGTCATTGGATCCAGAATTAAAACACCTTACCTTTGCTCTTCTCTATAATAATTTTCACATTGAAGATATTAAGCGTTCCATCACAAAATACACTTCACCACAACCTTCCAATAATAATGAGTCTGAAAGTAACCCCGCATTTGCCACTGTTGTCCTTCCTTACATTCGAAACATCGCAGACCATATCTCAAAAGAAATCTAACGTCATAACCAAATCCAAAAATCTCTTAACATCTTCGATCCGTCAAAGACAAAATTCCGTTTGAGATACCAGGAGTTTGCAGCCTCTCATATCATGCAAGCAACAAAAAATCCGAGAAACTGTAGAAATCTATAGGCAACCAGACAATCTTTATCTGTCACCAATATACAGATATAAAACACTATGAATTTTCTGACATATCAGCGTACATCATATTTTTTAAAATGGAACACCCTGTATATAATATATATTACAATGATATAACACACATTATATTTTAGTCCACTCGTTTTTGACAAGTCGGCAAAAATAGGAAATTTTTATAAATTTCAGAGAGTGCCCTGACTGACAAATAAAAATATGTGACATATTAGTAAACAACGTTGATGGTTGAATTATTGTCCATGTCGTTATTGTTAAAATGGTTTTTCGCGAATTTAGGAGTAATATGCTTCAAGTATACTTTCTGAATAATAAAAGTGCAACGACAGCTTGTCGTCAGTATATTAGACTTAATCCAGAGCGCCGAGCTCCTTCAAAACAGATATTTCCAAGGCTGGCAAATAAATTTGCAGAAAACGGTAGCGTATCAAATGCTAAAAAGGTATGCCGGAAACATAATGTTTTAAATGAAAAAAGTAGGCAAATGTTAATTTAATTTATATCAAGCACATCCAGTTTCCTCTATTATTAGAGTATATGTAGAGACATAATGAGAATAATAAATTTTTTGAAAAACATTTTATAGGCCGATGATCCTAGACAAATACACGAAATAAAAATCCAGGGGTACCAATCATTTAATCTATGGTAGATGGTCATATTGTGGGTCCGATATTTAGAGCTCCAAATAGAACAATATGTAGAAGATTTACCCCTAAATGTATCAGGCTAGACGGTGCCCCTCCTCACAATGTTGTGCAAGTTAAAAATTTTCTTAACATGGAATATCCCAGGGGTTGGATAAGGAACGGCGGAACTATGGATTGGCCAGTCAACAGCTCCGATTTAATTTAACGGATTTTTTCTTTTTGGGGCACGTAACAAATCACGTGCACAGAAGTCCTTGCAATAATGGCGTGGAACTTCTTCAAAGGACTTCAGAGGTAATCAATCAGTTAAGAGACAATCCGGAAATGTTACTAAATGCAAGACGTCATACAATTAAAGTGTATGAGAAATGTGTTCAGGAAAATGTGGAAAAATAGTTAAAGAATTTTTTACTTTAGTGTGTCTTGTCATTTTTAGTGTTTTTGTTCAACTTTAATTCATAAATAATTGTTGTTGTTGCAGTCAGTAAAAAATTTTCTATTTTTTCCGATTTGTCAAAAACAAGTGGACTCAAATACAAAGTGTGTTACATCATTGTGATTGGAATAAGATGTCAGAAAATTGATAGTGTTTTGTTTTTTACGTCACTCGGGAAAAAACTTCGCTACTAGCCCGTTTTGTTTTTTTTTTGTTTACTTTGATATCTCAAGATAAATTAATTGAATGCACGATACAATGTTCTGTAGTCTGTAACTTTGTTGATTGTCGAAACGTTTTAATAGCTTAAAAACAAATTCGCCTGATTTGCTGTTAGATGCAAACCATATATGTGTAAAGTAGTCAATACTTACTGCGGAAACCAACAATTAAACAACCAACCGATGCGCTTAAAAGCGTGTTTTATATCGACTTTCTTCAATAAGCCATCAAATAAACGAAATCGCATGATGTAAGCTGCAATGCGACTCTGAGCGCCACCTGGTGGCAAATGATCGAGACCGCGTGTCATCTGATTCCAATTCCGAGTGTCTTGCGCCCCACTACGATTAAGCCGCGTACTAATTCAAAACGTCTCCTGCGCAGCATCTACCGCGCCGAAAACAACGAGTGCAGGCCTTGCCACGAGCAGTGCGGCGATTCCTGCCACGGTCCGGGAGCGAACAATTGCACGAGCTGCAGGAACTTCAAGGACGGTCCCTTCTGCGTGGAATCGTGCCCCTCCAACAAGTACGTCGAGCGTGGCATATGCAAGCCTTGTCACAGCACCTGCGTGGACGGCTGCACGGGCCCCAGAAACACAGTGGGACCGAACGGCTGCATGTCCTGCGAACTGGCAATCATGAACGAAAACGCCACCGTCGACGTTTGCCTGCACAAGAACGATTCCTGCCCGGACGGCTACTACGTAGAATACGTAGGGCCTCAGATACAGGAAGAGTCGTTCCTGAGGCTGCTCTCCGGAAAGGCGATATGCAGGAAATGCCACCCCAGGTAAGTGAGGTCTAAAGTGCTAAATTGCTGCTAAATCTTCATTTGCAAACAACCCTTTATAATATCGCCCCACCCCCCAAAAAATAAGGGGACTTTTAAGTTCTATCAAAAAGTATTTATTTTTTTATCAAAATTAATGTTGTCTCCTTCAAAGTAATCCTCTCCAGGTATAATACACTTGTGCCGACAATCCTAGAAGCACTTTTTGTAAGCACTTTCTGGTATATCATTGAGTTGTTCCAGTGAAGTTTTCTTTATTTCCTGAATTGCTCCAAACTTCCTTCCTTTCCTGGGTTTCTTGGGTTTTCGGAACAGGAAAAATTCGCAGGGGGCCATGACCGGTGAATATGGTGGCTGAAGCACGATTCTGGTTTTATTTTTGGCCAAAAAGTTAGACACAAGCAACGATGAGCGAGCAGGTTCAAAATTAAGCAGTGTCGTAACAAATTTTGCTGCTACAGGTGTCATGCCCAAAACTTCGGAAAAAAATTCATGACACGAGCCAATAGACATGCCAACGTCTTCAGCCAGTTCTCTAATAGTGATTCGACGATTTTTCAACACCACTTGTTTCACTTCTTCAACGCTTTCATCAGTTATTGAAGTGTTTTGCATGACTGTATTTAATTTTTGTTATTTATTGTTTTGCTGTTGTCCCATTTTTCTGACAGCAGAAAATTTCCAAGTACACAAAATACGTCTAACGCTTCCGTCTCACAAAAAAAGTAAACGTGCAAACTGGCTGAAACTGTGAACATATTTTAGGGACATGTGTACATGTATAGCCCGCCTTACTTTTTGAACACAACTCGCATACGTTTGATAAACACGAATTCCTTCACCAACTGCAAACTAACCAAATGAACCAATAATGAACCACCACGTGTTTCACCCCTTTCTTCCCGAAAATAGAAATAATAAAAAATATAAAAAAAATAAAAAAACAATCCAATTTTCGCTAACTTTCTTCCGAACATCCCTTGCGTACTTTATTGAGTTTCAAAAGCTCAGCCAATTTTTGGATGGAAACTGGACAAACACCACAACAAAACTAATCTAAGCAAATGTACGGATAGTCCATGCTTGAAAATATACCAACAATTGCTTTTACGACAAAAACGCTTGGAATAAAAGTTATAGCACCGGATATTTCGAGTCTCTCGGTTAAAAAATTTTGACGATGTGCTTAATAGTTTTCGAGAAAATATTTTATTTCCTGAAGCCAAAATAACCCAATTGGAGAGATTTGATTGCGCCTATTTTCTACAATATAGGTGTGGATATGGACTTCTACTGCTTTCCCAAATTTGAAGTCGATAGCTGCAAATTACAGACATCTATTACATTTTTTATTATAGCACAGAATTGATTTTTTTCTTGGACCTTTGCCAACGAAATTTTTAATTTTTTAAAAATACGTTCCGACAGCCCAGATCCCCCAAGTTCCGTTAGGGATCTAAACTCTATATGTATGCCGAATATCAAGTCGATAGCTGCCAATTCCAGACATCTATTACGTTTTTTATTATAGCACAAAATATCCCGAACACTCTGTACAATATGTGAAAACCTTAAATAGAGAAGCTTTAGCTGTCCCTACGGGAATTGACAACTGACGCACGGGCTTCTAGTTAAGCTCAATCGTCAATATTTGAAAATTATGAAGAATTTTTATGATTGTAAAAACAGTTTTCGTGAATTGATTTTTTCCGTAAACGAGGTTTTTATTTTTTTTTTAATACTTTCTGACCCCCTAGCCCTCCAGTTTCAAATAGGTTCCTAATATCAAGTCCGTAGGTTCAAATTTCGGACAATTTTCTTGTTTCGGGCTTAGGTGCCTCATGGAGGAGCGTAGCTTATTCCAAAAACTAGGCAAAGACCGTTGCCGAGATACAAAATTTTTATACGAGCGTAGGTTTTATTCATTTCAATTTGAGCATTTGTTAGGATTTTTCGAGAAAATGCACGCCTAGTTTTTGTTCCTTATGGCAAGAGAGAGGCGTATCTATTCACTCTCCGATCCGTGTGCAGATGCAAGAAGTGCTCCGGTTACGGATTCCACGAGCTGATCTGTCAGGAGTGCACGAACTTCAAGAAGGGAGAGCAGTGCGAGGATGAGTGCGCTATGGATCACTATCCGGACTTCGCGACTCACATCTGCATGGCCTGCGACGCCGAGTGTCGAGGGTGCACGGGTCCAGGCCCAGAAAACTGCATCACTTGCCAAAACTACAAGCTGTACGACGACGGCTGGCTCGATCCCAACAACACCTTCACGTGCGTGTCGACATGTCCGCCAGAATTTCCGCACCGAGTGTACCCGGACAAATCCGATTCCTATTGCTCAGACAAGCCCGAGCCCACGTACGACGGCCTGATATCATCCAGGAGTCCGACATACGTCGTCATCCTCATAGTCTGCACCGTCATCGGTATATTCTTCATCACGCTCATCATCGGGGTGCTGTTCTACTGCCAGCGGAAGCAGAAGATGAAGGAGAACGAGATCAATAAAATGACGATGGCCCTGACGGGACTGGAGGATAACGAGCCCTTACGACCTAGCAACGTGCTGCCCAACGTTGCTCAACTGAAGATCATCAAGGAAACGGAGATCAGGAAGGGAAGCATATTGGGTTACGGGGCATTCGGTACGGTCTACAAGGGCGTTTGGGCCATGGACGGGGAACACTCGGCCAAAATACCGGTGGCCATCAAAGTGCTGCGCTCTGATACCGGAGCCAACACGAGCAAGGAGTTCTTGTCCGAAGCCTACATCATGGCCAGCATCGATCATCCGAACCTGCTGAAGCTGCTGGCAGTCTGCATGACGTCCGAGATGATGCTGATTACGCAGCTGATGCCCCTTGGGTGAGTGCATTTAACAACCAAATCTATAGCTCATCGAATCTTCAGCCTGCGGCCATAATTTACTGCTCATTTATTTTTACAATTCTTCTTAAAGTAAATTAAATCTAATATCTATATAATTCCAAAAACTTCCAAAAATAGCTTTGAGAAATCATGATTTTGGGATCAATTTATTTTATCGTCCGAAAATTAGTTTTTGGCGATTTTGTTCGTACATTATCTAATAGGTTTCTAGTCTCTCTGATATGCTATTTTTTCGTATACCCAAACTGCAAAAATCTTTAAAGAAACTTGACACCAATTCCCCACTTAACTTGATCCTTTGTATTTTAGACTCGCGTTTATTAATTTAATAAAATCTATTATATTTTATGGACCCTCCATTTATGGTCTATCCATCTCTCATAGTTTTTAGACTATGTCTATCCACGTGACCTAACCTCCCATACCAAATATTGCAGAATAGTTACATTCACTTTCTTTGCTTTGCTTAAAATCAATGTTTGGGAAAAATATGTCGTTATATGAATCCCAATAGACATTGCAATTTCTATTTGAACCAATTGCAGATCTTTCATTATTGAAAATTACTTTGAAATATTTTTTCAGTAACATACTTTCAACTTTTTTATGCTTCCATAGAAATGTCTTTCCCCTAACACAGACCCTTGATTGTTCTTTGCCTTTTTGCGTATCAAACTTCTTCATTGTTTGTTGTTCCAATTGTAACTTCAGAATACCAGAAACGCCCAGAGTTCCCACCATCTACTCTACTATATGGAGCCGTCTTGAACGTTGCTCCCGAATGAGCCCTTTTTTACCCTTTGGTACTCGTTGCATTGATTACTGCTTCAGAATCTTCATTCAATGTCAATAACAGATGACAAACTTTACCTTCTCCTTCAATTTTTTTGTTGAGTGTACAGCAGAGCTCTTCAACAGAAGTCTTGCTTAAATATTTCTCGGTTTCAATTTGGATTTATAAATGGGCCCAACGTTACAGGTGTCTCCTGGACTTTGTGCGAAAAAACCACGAGAGGATCGGTTCGAAAACCCTCCTCAACTGGTGCACCCAAATCGCCAGGGGCATGGCCTATCTGGAGGAGAAGAGACTGGTCCACAGAGACTTAGCCGCGCGGAACGTGTTGGTGCAAAAACCGAGCTGCGTCAAGATCACCGACTTCGGTCTGGCTAAACTCCTCGACCTCAACGAGGAGGAGTACAAAGCGGCGGGAGGTAAAATGCCCATTAAATGGCTGGCGTTGGAGTGCATCCAACATCGGATATTCACCCACAAGTCGGACGTGTGGGCGTTCGGGGTGACCGTTTGGGAACTGCTGACTTTCGGTGGCAGGCCTTACGAGAACGTGCCTGCCAGAGACGTGCCGGAACTGTTGGAGAAAGGGGAACGGTTACCTCAGCCCCAGATAGCCAGCATCGACGTCTACATGATCATGATCAAGTGCTGGATGCTGGACGCTGAGAGCAGGCCCTGTTTCAAAGAGTTGGAGGACGACTTTTCAAAGATGGCGACCGATCCCGGACGGTATCTGGCCATACCCGGAGACCGGTTCATGCGTCTTCAGAATTACGCGACTTTGCAGGTGAGACGTCGATTTGGGCCCTTCGAAAATTATCGATGACGCTTTTATTTATTGTTTAACGATAAGCAGGTTGCTATCAAATGACAAAATTGGTTGCTTGGTGAGAAAATAAATTGGCACACGAATATTTGTATGTTGGATACCAAATGGATAACGTTGTTAATATCGATCCTACCATGAAGTTGGAGCGTTTTAGCTAACCTTCCGATTGTGCAATCAAAAATATAAAATGAAAATTCTATCTGTCAAATTTTGACAGTTGGGCCTTTTTTGTTAAATCCGGATTTTGAAATATCCCACATTTTATCTGTCAGTAACTATTGTTTCAAAAATGAAATTAACCATGAAATCTACACCAGTTGCTTTTTTTTAATATACCAAAAGAGTTTATATGTTGCGTGTTTTTCATCTTTTCATTTATTAACATATTAATTACCTACTACTTATAACAAAGATAGAACAATATTACTGTTAGTGTTATCAAAAAACAAAAAAGAAGGTTCAAAATGACCACCATTAATCTGCACGCATACACGTGTAGCTTTTTGATTGTACAAACGAAAATATAAAATAAAAATTTTATGTGTCAAATTTTGACATGTTGACATTTTTTTTAAAACTCAATAGTTGAAATATCGCTCATTTTATTTAATATCGGATGTAAGGAAGTCAGAAACTATTGTTTCAAAAGTCAAATTAGAAATGAAAACTAAATCAGCTGCCTTTTTTAAATAAATCCAAAGAGTTTTTTTGTTGCGTGTTTTTCTATTTTGTAATATTAATAATTATTATGAGATTTTCAGTTAAATATATTTTCATTTATTAATATATTACTTAACTACAAAAATTAAAGAATAATACTTAAGTGTTATTAAAAAACAAAAAAAAAAGTTTAGAAATGACCACCATTCATAATATAAAACAAAAATTTGACATGTTAAATTTTGACAGGTCGACATTTCTTAAACTGAAATAACCTTGCGTATATATAAATTGTTTTTTTTGGCGGATTTTGCAATATCGCACATTTTATTTAATATTGGATGTAAGGAAGTCAGTAAATATTATTTCAAAAATCAAATTAGTCATGAAAACTCCAGTTATTTTTCTAATTTGTAATATTGATAATTATTATGAGTTTTTCAGTTAAATATATTTTCATTTATTAACATATTACTTACCTACTACTTATAACAAAAAATAAACCATATTACCTACTTAAATGTGATCAAAAAACAAAAAAAAAGGTTCGAAAATATAAAATAAGAATTAGATATGTCAAATTTTGACAGGTCGACATTTCTTAAACTGAAATAACCTTGCGTATATATAAATTGTTTTTTTTTTGCGGATTTTGCAATATCGCACATTTTATTTAATATTGGATGTAAGGAAGTCATATCAGTTGCTTTTTTTTACAATATACTAAAAGAATTTATTTGTTACGGGTTTTTTTTATTGTATAATATTGGTAATTATTATGACATTTATAGTTACTGCTTATAACAAAAATTTAAAAAATATTACCCACTTAAGTGTTATCAAAAAACAAAAAAAAACAGGTTCGAAATGACGATCATTCATCTGCATTCATACACTTGTAGCTTTCGGATTGTGCAATCGAAAATATAAAATTTTACGTGTCAAATGTTGACAGGATGACATTTTTTTAAACTGTTTAAACATGCATACGTAACTGTTAGTTTTTTTTTCAGTCAGTAAATATAGTTTAGAAAATAAAATTTACGAGTTTTTCTGTTGTGTAATATTGGTGATTATTATGAGATTTTATATATTACTTTCCTGCTACTTATAACAAAAAAATAACAATATTACATACTTAAGTGTTATCAAAAAACAAAAGATGTTCGAAATTCCCATAAAACCATAAAAATGTGTCAATGGGAGCAAGATCTGGATTGTCGCTTTAGTCCGAAAGTTTACCGAGATTGTCAAATTGGTATTATTTCTAATAATAATAATTTTGGGGCAAATTGTACCTAGTGTGTGCCGATTTTTGATAAAAAATCATTTCTTTCTTCTTCTTATACCTTTTAAGTTGTCGAGAAATTTTGATTTGAAATTTTCAATACGTACGTACGTAATATTTAAAATTTCATATTTTTACGACATCAATTTTAAAATAACTTAGGTAATGCTAATTTGGTAACACAGAACTTAACCTCGACGCACATTTATGTCAGCTGATAGCTGAATTATGATTTTGGTGATTTTCTTGGTGTAGTTGGAAGCTATTGCAAAGGCAATGTCGATTTTAAAGAAATAAATGTCATTGACTTTTATCTTTGGAAAAATATGATGACCTAAACAAAATTAAAGGCTCACACAATCAGCCATACCTTTCAGATATTGCACCCGGCCAATACACCTTCAAATATGTTTTTATTTCTTTGTGAATAAAGTTATTAAAAAAGAAGAACTTCTTAAGCCGCATGCAGAGGATTATCAGCGTAAAAAAAGCTAATATTTTAGAAAAATTCAGTGGGATATTGCCAAAAAATCGAAAATTATTCTGGGAAACCTTTGTAGACTTAACCGAAGATGACAAAGAAGTAGAAAATACACAATAATTGGTCCTAGTTATAATTACAAAAATTACCTTGTTGTTTAAGTGCTGACAAGCAAATACGATTTTTTTCTTGAGAACTGTGTATTAATTTCGATAAATCAGCTCTGCAAATGCCAATTTAATAAGCGGCATGTGATTTTTTAAAAGCTATGGAAATGAATTGTTGGTGAGAAATAATGAAATGGGCATCCTAAAAACTATGGAAAAGATGAATGATCAGCGATGGCCAAGACGACTGTTACAATATATCCCCAGCAATCGTAGAAAAAGAGGTAGACCAAAAAAATCGTGGAAGCAAGAAGTGAACTGTGCAATGGTGGATAGAGGACCACAAACACATGATTGGAATGATCGCAAGCGTTGGAAGCTAAGATTTGAGAAGCGGCGACAGCTGTTGTAGTAGGCTGTGTCTATAAGAATTCTTAATTCTTTTGTCAGAGTGTTTTTTTTGACAGTTGTTTGATATCAGTTTCTAAATTTAGTTATTCACGTCTGATTAATTTGGTGTTTTAAATACAGGGCATCGTTATTTTCCAAAAGAATGGTCGGGTTTTCTAATGAGGATTTCACAGATATACATTTTATGTATGGTTTGTTAGTGCGGTTATATTAAGAGCGCTTTCCTAATATAGTGATATCAGATAGGCGAACATTTTCAAATACACATCGAAGATTGGCTGAAACAGGTACTTTGAGCGCCAATACTCAAGCGGCCCTTCGGACTGCAAGAACTACAGAAATTGAAGCAGTTTTAAATTCTATCGGTGAAAATCTTGAACCTAATACTTAGAAATTAGTAACATTTGTTAATTTTGGTCAATGGTTTTTGGACAGAATTGCGCATTATCCCTTGTTTGACCAATAAATAGCACTTACAGATGAAACTTCAGAAATGCAATCTGAAATGCAGTTGTAGAATTGAAACATCCAAATGTTTGGGCTGGAATTGTTGGAAATTACTTTACTGGACACTTTTTCCTGCCAGAACGGCTAAATGGTAATAACGGTTTTTAGAAGAAGATTTGCCAATTTTGCTAGAAGTACCATATTGAATTAGGAACAGAATGTGGTTCATGCATGACGGCGCGGCTGCTCACTTTAATGTTTCAGTAAAAGAATATTTGAATCACACATTTAATAACCGATGGGTAGATCGCGGTGGAGCTCAACCGTGGCCCCCTAGATTTAAATAGTTTGGACTTTTTCTTATGGAGACATCTTAAAAGTCTGGTTTATCATACCCCAGTCAACGCCGTAGAAGAGCTGAAGGATCGTAAACAAACATAAGGAAAAGAACTGAAGCGTGTATCCTTCAAGGTGAAGGACACTTTCAACAAATTATCTAGTTTCTGTGTTCTACTTTTTTTCAAAAAGGTTGTTATTAATTATATATAGGAAAATTTGGTTAAAAATTATTAATAACGGATCCATTTGGTAGTTGAGACGCTGCCATCTGGGCGGTGTCAGCCACATGTGTTGATTCATCCAGTTCAAGTGAAAAATTAACACAGTTATCTAAGTCACTTCTTAACTGTAAAAAAAATATCATTGCTCATTACTTCGACACGTCTCATCACTGTATTAGCAGAAAGTTGCATATATTTTATAGCTGAAACTTTTTCATCTTCATTTCTAAAGTTGGCAAATAACGAATCAGCAGCTTCTAAAACGGCCTGTTTTATTATTTCATAAGTTTTCTTCTTTTATGCAATTATCTGGGACACATGGTACGATGCTTCAGTTGCAGCCTTATTTTTGTTGACTGTTCTTAAAACTATTGATTGTTGTCCAATTAACTGCGTTTTTAACTGTTTCTGGCGGCGGAATGTAGCGGGAATGATTTTTCAAAATTAGAATGTACAGTTTTATGATGTCTCTCGATATTTCCTTTCAATGCCTTTTGTGCCATGTGTGCCAAATTTCATTAAAATGAATCTCAAAAGCTAAGACGCTTGGGACGTATGTTGATATGAAGTTTTCTGCTTCGTTAAATAGAGTATTTTCGTATTGCGAGTAACTTTTCGGCTGTGAACGATCGTCCCGCGTCATTTGCAGAGCGAAAGGGACATGATGAGAAGTCTGGCTTCCGACTCCATCGAGATATCCGAGATCGAGGAACACATGCAGCCCAAATCGAGGGCCCCGCTGCACGGCACTGGTTTGACGTCGGCGTCGCCCGCGCCGGACCGCTACTGGCCTTCGAGCTTACAGATGACGTCGGACGGGAGCGTGTCCATGTACCCCCACAGCCAGAACCACTTCAACCAGAGACTCCTGAGGTACACCCAGGGGAGGAGGTCGTTCGAGCCCAGCACCGCGTCCGAGTTTTCGAGTGTCCGCTACTGCGAGGACTCGATCAAGGCGAAAACGGACACCGGCTCGGACGAGTACGATTCCTCCGTCAAGTCCCAGGCCCAAGTGGGCACTCTGAAGCTCGAGTTGCCTGTAGACGAGGAAGATTACCTGATGCCGTCGCCCCAATGCAACCAGCCCACCTCCACCTACTTGGACGTCATAGACGTGAAGAACTCGACGGAGTTCTTCAAGAGCAACATCGACAACCCGGAGTACCTTTTGAACAACGACGTGCCTTGTCAAACTGTCGGACTGCCCAGTTGCCCGGAGTACGAGAACAGCGTGCCGGAGTCTTCCGGGAGGCGTGTTCAGCGCAGCTCGGAGGAGGAGTCGGACCACGAGTGCTACAACGACTTCGACAGACTGAGACGGGAGCTGCAGCCCCTTCAAAAGGGCGCCGACGAGGCCTTAGTGTGAGCAATCGTTTTTTCCGAGTGGTACAGAGACTTTTTTTCCGGGGGCAAGATCATATAGCTACTAGATATATATGCACAGACCGATCTAAATTGAGTACTCGCCGTCGGTGAGGTACAAGTAGAGAAAGTAAGAAAAACAATTGAACGTAGCAGAAAACGGGGAGGCTTCTTCAGAACTTGAGTGAAACTGCACAGTTTCGGACATAAGGCAATCAAAATATGAAAAAAAAAAAACACATGACCTCATTTTCGGCCTAAACTATGCAAAATTCGAATAGGAATTTCTTAAGAGACTGACCTTTATTTTAACCGAGGATTACAAAAATTTGGTGTCGCGGGGGACACTTTTAGGACACCCTGTATCAACAAATTATGTATTTTAAATCTTCAGGAGGGTCCAAGAAACTTTTGTAAGAAACTTTTTTTCGTATTTCCTAGATCGTATAGTCGTTTTATTTGGCACGCGGTGTATCACGTGACTTCACCAACAGCTCAGTTCAGTTCAGTGATTTACTACGACGTTGATATTTCACTTATAGTCGAAATACTTAGGCGGAACACTTTTTAAGTCCTATCGCCTATTTTCATTCAATAAAAAATACGAAAACCATATTATCTAATAGCTATATGGGGAAAATGTTTGACTGACGCGCGGACAGGGATGAGCGCATAAAGGGCCTTTTGTACTTGTTTTGGACAAAGGCTGTGGTGATTTCCCTTCTGAATTACTAATCCGTTACTTAACTAGGTTTATACGTAGGACCTGTCAAATGTTGACAATAACGATGAGTGCCATTCGGTTTGTTTATGGCATGCGTTGAGAGGGGTGTTTTTTTAATTTTTTTTTATCAAATTTCTGACATATTTTTTATACAGTGCGTATTTTTTATACGACATGCATATATACAATTTTCGCAAAGCCGCTTAAAAAAAACACCCCGTATATTTGTACATATTATACATTATTATTCTTATACAGGGTGGTCTGACTATCTCGTGTCGACGAAATGCATCAATTTTTTTAAAATGCGCCACAGTATAGACTACTAGCCTACTGGACGTACGTATTTCAATAATCCGAATTTTAGTGTGAGTATATACGTGCACTTTTCTGTGCACCAAGTTTAGTTGAGAATAATTTTTTATCTAATGTGATTTTTCATTTTAAAAAGTTCGAAATTCAATTCTGAGCAAAAAATATTATTTTTTAGATATAATAACGGAATAACTGTTTCCGTAATAATTATTGAGGACCATCACTAGCAAAAATTTACATGCTTATGAAAATTTGAGCACAATTCTTTTTTGAACTAAAAAAAACATTTATTTTTTCTTTGGTTTATTACTGTTTATTTAACAGTTCTTCGGGGATAATTATCGGTATTCCATTTCACGCTAAAAAATAGAAAAAAATGCAAAGGATTGCGGTCGGGCGATCTAGGTGGCCAATTATCCCGTACAGTCAAATTTAACGGTGAAAACTCCCTACTAGACTGCAAGATCCAAATTGTTTTCGTAAATATGATAAAGACACTGCTTACCCATGGCAAAATATTTTATTGGTGAGTAATTCCTGTATAATCTTGCTTCCAAATTCTCTACCGGTATTGAGTGTCTCTTCGTTTTAGATATGGCGTATGCTAAACAAAACTTGTTCAGAATTTTATTAAGAATCGAAAAATGCATGGTGTTCCATTTAAAATAACAAACTTGATATTGACCCCGATAGTATGGCACACCGTGTATATTCGAAAATACTTTTAAAAGGTGCACTAGCTACACATATAAGCACATATCAAAATTCGGAATATTAAAATAAGTCCTTTTTTTTTACCGTAATTTTCAAACCGCAATAGACTCACATTTCTCACAACACTTTCAAGCAACGAGCGTTTTTTGATGCGAAATATTTTTTAAAATACCACTAGTGACGTGCGTGCCAAAATTTGTGGGGAATAACGATTCTACTATTCTATTCGAGGCTGGTAACTAATAGTAAATGAAAGTAAATAATTTTCAAAAAAACAAAAATATTCAATGTACAGAAATTAGATTTCATCTCCTTTTTCCTCGATCTTAAACTTATAGGAAGGTAGTTGCTATATATACACTTTTTCATATGCCATTCTACCATTAATTTCTTTCTGGTCTCTCCAGTGACATTATTAGTCTGTTAGTCCAAACAAGATGACAATATTTTGATGATTACGGCTTATTTTTTTATTTCAGCTTTATCTGTTCCAATGTTTACCATCACCTCATCTGTAACAATCAAAGACCAACCGAACCGAAAACCGAAAACTTTTCATAGTAAGCCTTAGGCTTTTTTGGCCAATTCCTTTTTTTTTTCCTGAGACTCTCAATCCTTTAAAGGAACTTCCTGGTGTGTTTTCTATGGCATTGATCTGAATGTTCTCATTTCTGTTCTAAGTATTCTTTTCGTTTGTGCTGTGTGTGCCAGTTTTACGTACTTTGTTTTAGTTGTCCGGATATTTCTTTCGTCAGATATTCGAACCAACTTGCGATAAATATATGAAAATAAAAAAAATATTCCACACAAATTCTCCTGTTTTAAAACAGGACAGTAATTTTTTCAGAAAAATATTTTGCATCGCATCGCTTGAAACAGGTGAACAAAATATCGGTGTATATTTAGTGCATAAATCTCGTAACACCCTATATATTATAACTGGTCCTGGCAAAAGGGGGGCCACCCTGTACCGTTGTGTAAATATTGTGGGCGTAAAAAGTTTGGGCGAAGAGTTTGAGCCGATCCTAGATGTTCTTGCCCGACCTTGTCGACTGTGATACATTAATTTTTTTTTATAGAAACATACCTATCGTAGTTATATATATATATACGCGGAGAATGAGCAACATATTATTATGGAAAGGCTATTTTTAACGTTTAGTTGATTTGTTTTTAAGGTTTAATTCGTAGTGGTTTGAATCTCGGTTGAAATGTCATCCCCTACACTCGGTTTATTGTTAATATATATATATACATATATATATATATATATATATATATATATATATATATATATATATATATATATATATATATATATATATATATATATATATATATATATATATATATATATATATATATATATATATATAATACATTTTTTAATTCTGTCAAATCCATTGTTAATATTCGCACTAAACCCGTGCCATTTTTGTACATGAACAGCAAGTGCCTTTGTTGTATATTCGTCAAATTTCGCTCGAATAATTTATACGGTTTTTAATAAAACATTAATAATTGACGGAGTCGAATTCATTTTTCCTTTTCGACCGATAAAGGTTCTATGGGGTGTCGAATAGTTGTTATACCGTGACCAGAAATATAGTATTTTTACAGCTCTGATTAACTTTGCCCATTAATCCAAAAACATATACATAAAAAAATTAGTACAAAGTAACAATTTATTACGTTCTATTTCATTACCTTTCTACATAGTATCATTATTAATATAAAAAATATTAAATATAATAATAATAAAGTATGAGTCACTTAAAAAATCGTCACTATCGCTACTGTCGTCACCTAAATATGTTTTTCTTTTATTGCTCACCAAATTTAGGTGTCGTTATTTCATTTTATATGCGCTTTCAACTCAGGAAAAATCGGATCGGATCGATCGGATTAAACATTCAATGTTATCGAACCACGAATATACTCTATAGTCTTAAAAAAGACTGTTGTTTACAAATCGAAAAACTATGTAGAAGACACAAAAATACATGAAGAAAAATGTTGCTAATCGATAGGCACACAAGATAAAGATTATTTTCAAACTTACCCGTTGAACTATCCAGTGAAAGCAGTTCGCAGGGTCAAAGCTCGAGAATAAATACGTAGAATAAATACGTACATAGTCAAATACCGCCGTAATATATACATACGAACATATTATAATTTAGATTAAACTCTTAAGAACGATATGTTTCACCTGATATTAAAATGAACGCTTCTACTTATTCGAAAATACCCCGCAGCATCAATGCTTAATCAAATTTAAAACGGTGCATTTACGTTTCAAATAAAAATTTCTAGTCTACAAATATTCGTTACGGTCCATCTCAGGCAAGATCTACTTAATGCAGAATAAACATCTGTTGGCATGGGTTTTACCACGGTCCTGCGAAGGTCTGCAGTTGAGGTACCGTAAAATATGTAAAACGTCAAAGCAATAAATGCACTATATTTTTGGTAGTACAATACTTCCGTGATTGTTTCATTAGATGGCGCACACTAAACGAACAGTTTTCGCTGAACATTAATGCGGGTGGTATTTGGACTTCATTTTTTTAAAACATTGGTTATTTCTGCCGAAACCGATCAACACATTTTAAAAGCCAGTCTATGGCGATTATGACATTTATGAGACAATTTAGGTTATAAAATAATAAAAAAAAGAATATTACGCACCTCAAGCGCAGTACCAAAATAAAAGCAATGCCACCGCAACAAATTTTTACAGAAAAATGTGGAGTATTTTAATATATACCTACATTATGAATGTATTATTTATCAAAGAAAATGTATGTTGCTGATTTTTGTCATATATTCACGGACGTGTGTTCAATATATGACAGAAATGTATTCTGAATATTCACGATTCTCTTAAAGATACTCACTGTCTATTCCCAGAAGTTCAAACGTCACGGAATACAGAAAAAAATTAAAAATCGACGCGAGAGTTCCCCGTTCACAACTTTTTAGCAAGACAGTTTTTTAAAGAAACAGACTTACTTAACCTTACTATTGTACCGTGGGTTCAATTTATCTTGATAACATTTTAATTGGCTGTAACTTCTGTTGTTTTTAGAGGTATCAAGGTAAACAAAAAAATAAAAAGATATTGTTTAAATGGAACACCCTGTATATGACATATGTGTTTAATAGAATATCCTATTCCGATTACAATGATATAACACACATTATATTTTAGTCCACTCGTTTTTGACAAGTCGGCAAAAAAAGAGAAATTTTTATATAATTTTTTTGACAAATAAAAATATTGACATTCGACATATTAGTAAACAACGTTGGTGGTTGAATTATTGTCCAATTCATTATTGTTAAAATGGTTTTTCGCGAATTTGGCATCAGCGAATGGAGTGATAACTTAACTGTCACAGCATAGTATAGTAAACCGAGTACCATTGTTATTGCTTCCGTGATTTCATCACTAGATGGCGCGGCGTCACCAATTTTTAATACAATTCAACCTTTTCGCGACTGAGCTACTTATAGCGGCTTGTGGGGCAAGGAGGAATTAGAAACGAAGTTCAAATTTAACTTTATTATTAATTAATGTTATTAACAAAAAATTGTTGTCACTTAAACGACGATGGTTGTTGTGGCGTTCCCCTGAGTTTCCTCGGAGGTCCGTTTGTACCTCAAATACCTCGCAGCAGACGTGCCCCTATTAAGGTTGCATTGGTACAAAGCGTCGCCCTGGTAACCCGAAGGGCACGTGCACACGGCCACATGGTTCCTAGCGTTGCACTCGGCGTTCGTTCCGCACTGGCCCACGCAGGGGTTCTGACATCTTCGAATTAAAAAATATTATCAATTGTGATATAGATTTTAATAAAAAAAAAGCGTTTTTTTAATAACAATTGGTATCAATGGAAAGCATTTTTAAAAATGCTTTTTGGTTTACGACTATTTATTAGGGATCCTCCTGGAACCGCACTGGACTGAACAAATTTGGTCTAGTTGAAGCAAACTTAACCTTTTATCAAATGCAAACGGCGCACAGAAGAGCGGCTTAGTATAATATCAGAGACAAAAAACTCTAAAATAGATGAGTGAAATTTTGGCACTAGTGTGTGTAATTCAAAATTTTACTACTATTTAAATGAAATGCCAATGAAAAGCAAATATAAAAAAATCCAGTATAAAATGTTGACTTTACTAAATATTTTTGTTATATGATTGTCTAGTACTGATTAATTGCTTTTTGACATTTTTATACAAATAAGTCGTCTTGTTGGGTAAAAATATATCAACATCTAAGTTTTTGTAGTTACAAAATTTTATATTTGACAGGATTCGTTTTACCAATAATCTCAATACAATTGCTGGAGTATTACGACCACGAAAATATAACATTTATCTGCTACGATCTGCCACCAAGATAATAACGGTAATTTTTATTTAGAAAACCTGATCCGATATGAATTTGATTAAAACAAATCGCGAAAATCAGGTACATAAATACTTACTGGAAGGATCACAGTCAAATACGTCCGTAATATATACGAACATATTGCAATTTAGATTAAACTCTTAATAACGAAACATATCACCTGATATTAAAATAAACGCTTCTACTTATTAGAAAATACCCCGCGCTCAATGCTTAATCAAATTTACGTTTCAAATAACGTTTAAAAAAAATGAAGAAATCTGTTGGGATGAGTTTTACCACGGTACTGCGAAGGTCTGCGGTTAAGGTACTGTAAAATACTTAAAACGTCAAAGCAATAAATGCACTATATTTTTGGTTGTATTATACCCGGCCCACAGTCTACCTTTTTTGCACTGTAGGTTATTTTCACATGAAAAGTAGTGTCTGTCTCTATTATATCTAAAATTATGGTTTCTAAAAAACTTTTTTTGGACACTATCTATTCTATCGACATACAGTGGATGAGTATTCCAAGATAGATATAAAGTTCATAAAAAGTAAATTAATTTATAATAGTATAGTATTATAATAGCATAAACTTACTTTTATAAGCAATAAAATAAATAAATAATAAAATCGCCGATAAAAATCGTACCTGTATTCGATACAAGCTTGACTAGGAGGGCAATGGGAGTCTTCGGTACACTCGCCTCTCTGGCAGCCCCTGACGGGGTCCCCGGTGTACCCCGTGAGGCAGAAACAGACCGGTCGTTCTTTACCCGTTCGGGTCTCGAATCCCGGCTCGCACCTCGCATTGGCGCCGCAGGGATTGGGTTCGCACAAATCCTCAGGCGTGAAGGGCCTACACCTCACGAACGGATCACCCGTCATGTCTTTGGGACAAGAGCACACGGGAGTCAGGCCTCTGAGTTCGCAGTTGGCACCGGCACCGCACACTCCGTCGCACGGGTTCTTGCAAATGCCGTAGAAGCACGCGGGCCTGCCCCGAGGACAGTCTACGTCACCGTAGCACTCGGGTTTGCATGAAACGTACGGGTCGCCGAAATAATTCTGAAATCGCATATCGAGGCATCCTAAAGGCAGGTTTATACGCGCCAGCCAAGTAACGAAAACGGAATATTTTGTTGTCGAATCGCTTGGTTCGGGATTTGCGAGTAATTGAAAGAATGAATAAACCAACAAAAAGCTGATTTATCAGTACAGCGAGATATCTTTAATTTATACTGTCGACACCTCAAAAATTTACTTTTTATAAAACTTCTGGATTCCAAATGCGTCGGTTTTTGTTGAGTGGATATAGCTAACGTTTCGCAGATCGTCCTGTTGGCTTCTTCAGAGCTTGACTGAAACTGGCTCGCATTTTACTCTGTACCTGTCACCAATATGGCAATCAGCCATCCGAGACGAGGTCTATGTCCCTCATTTAGCTCCGACCCACCCGATATAAAGGCAGGTACAGAGTAAAATACGAGGCAGTTTCAGTCAAACTCTGAAGAAGCCAACAGGATGATTGACCAAACGTCAGCAAGTTCGAGTCAACAAAAACCGACGCAGGTGGAATCCAGAAGTTTTATAAGATGTCTTCGTACAGTAAGACAATGCTTAATGCTGTCTCAGTTTAACGCTATTTATTTTAAACCCGCAAGCTTTAATCTTAATAAAAAAAAAGAAATGTGTGATTTTTTTAACTCTGCCACCGAACGGGAATGAAATAAATGAACCACAACAAAAAGGGACACTCTGTGCTCTGCCCTTGTTGCGGTAAGCCAAACGATGCGACGGGAGTCGTAAATCCCAATCCCAGTTTTTTTTTTATTGCAAAACGTAGCGGTAGCAGTTTGGTCCTAAAATACTTATCGTAATTTTCTGACCTTCGGGCATTTGCACACGGCTTGGTGGTTCCTCACGATCTCGCAGTCCGCACTCTCGCCGCATTGCTTGTTGCAGGGATTTTGACATTTGAAGTCGATGCACGCCAGATTGTTCCCGCATTCGGAGTCACTCTCGCACTCGTGACGACACCCGGCGAGCGGCGAACCTTGGAACCCGGGCAGACATTTGCAGGTCGGTACCCCGTTGACAACTTCGCAATTCGTATTCGAACCGCACGGGCTCGGGTGACATAGTTCGCCTGTCGGGAAAACCCCATACCTCTCTTTATAAGAAATGTCTAATATTGTTTATGGATACCATTTGATTAACTAAGGGTATGGTCGGCAGGGTGTTCTATAAGGGGCTGCGATAAAAACACTATATTTCCGGTTCAAGTATACCAAAATCGATATAAAGCCACGTTAAAACGATGATGATACTTTATCGAAGCGGCCGATTTGTGCAAAAGCCTCGTTTAACTCAAATTTCCGGTGCGAATTATAATTCCGTGGGTATTTATCTCCTTACTCGGATCGAATCGACGGCAAGACACGAAAGGACTGCCGGTATATCCCGGGGGGCAACTGCACACCGGCACGTGGTTCCTAACCTCACAATCCGCGTTGACGCCGCAACTACCGGCACACGGATCGATACACCTGCCGTTACTGCAAGTCTGGTAGTGTCTGCATTCGTCGTTCGCTAGACATTCGGCCCTGGAATTTTCAAAAATTCGTTATATCAGCGGTCGGCCGCCGCCAAGGCCTTCTTACCTCGTGCACACCGACAGGGGATCGCCGGAGTATCCTTTGAAGCAGGAGCACACCGGACGTCCTCCGATAATCGAACAGTGAGCGTTAGTACCGCAAGGAGAGGGCGTGCAAGTACAAGTTCCCGTCGAACAACCCACTTCCATCGCTACGTGAGAATGAGGTTATGGTTGCGTCGTTTTCGGACTTTGGGATGCTTAAAACCTGATTTATAGCCTCAGCGACAAGCGACAGTAGCAGGAAACATCGCAGTTAAAAAGTTGAAAAGCGCTACTGTCCGTTCCCGCAAGCTAATGACATATTTTATGGAGCGTCTTTCAAAATTAAGTACGTAACCTTTGTTTTGGGGAACGCGTTTGCGGATTTAAAATATTCTCCACACAACATTGCGGTCAATCATGTTTTTTCTATTAGTAGAAGTATTAATTGATTTACTCCAGGTACATAAAGCACGATTTTCATTTTTTTTACATTCAGGTTCTCAACTAAGTACGCTAAAAGAAATTCAACCAAAGAAATTTCGTGCTGCCATCTGCTGATGAGTAGCGAGACGTCGCTTGGTCGTGATGAAACTGTGGTTAGCAGTGTGCAATTTCTTTGGTTAGTTAGAAATCTGTGACTGTTTATTTGTCAATGTTTAACCATATTTTTTATATAATATAATTTCTCATTCAGAAAGAACCTACAATATATCAGCTATTTCTGAAATTTGTCTAAAAAATTTTTTTGTCGGTATAAATTATTTAAATAAATCATTGAAACTGAAAAAATGGACACTTTTTTTGATTAATGTTTTAAGTCAACGCTGAATGTTGGTTCAATATTTTTGAATTTAAATTTATATGACTGGAGTGCCATCTATCTCGAGATTTGCGAAACGTCTAGTGAACCGTTTGAAACTACGTCTTCTGAGTACTGTTTAAGAACGTTGAGTTGATGGAATAGTGCAGTTTATATGGTTTTGGAACTCAATTTTATTTTGTCAGTACCGTGAAACGGAAAATTTGAAATCCCGTTCTTGACGCTTTGAAGCCTGAAGGGCTTTTTTTTTGACAGTAAAATAGAAAACATAGAAAACAAAATCATAGAAATTTCGAGTAAAAAAGTAACAGTTAGGTGGGAATCATCGTAAGGGAAGTTTTTCCAGTTTTTTTAAATACAGAATGACTACAAGTACGAGTACTTTGTAATAAAAAAATAATTACCTGTTTTCATTTGAAGCCTCATAAACTAAGACACATTTTAAAAAAATAAAGTAAGTTTAGGTGGATATTTTAGTTGCAATGGCAAACTTACATAAGAGGAAACGTGTTAGAAAACATGTGCCCTTAAGTGGAAAATGTCATTTCTTAAGCAGTCTTTATAAAATAACTAGTTTGTGGGAGACTCGACAATTGCTTAGGTTTCTGCAGCTTTTAACTATTGACAGATTTTATACTGAATATTGCTGAAACTAGAAATCATGCTTCACAGCGTTAGTTCGTATGTGCAGTGTGATTATGTGTGTATGTGTGTGTCTAGATATGCGTTAAATAAAATGAATTGGTTCTTGAGTCTCATCCGCATGTAATACAGGATTATATAGTCCACTATAGTGTGATTATTCATTCTATGAAGACTGCTGTTTCTGCTCACCTCATTACACAAAAGGGAATAAAACAAAAGGATATCTAAGACTATCTGCTCTGACTAAAAGAAGATTTACAGAATTACAGACACTCGAAAACCAAAGACTTTAATGCTTATTTGCCGCAGCCCATGATTTTCTAGTAGTATAGTACAAATTGTCTTGGTCCAGATACCTAAGGTACGCTTTACTCACAGAATTAACCAAAACTATAAAAATTAATTTGGTGCTGCCGTCTGTTGATGGGTAGCGAAACGTTGGCTAGCTGATGCGAAACTTCTCACTTCAATGCATAATTAAAAAATAAATATGGTCGTTTATGAGGAAAAATTTCTCGGGAAACCCTTAAGCGGGTTTCTTTTAATCACTAATAGATTTTCTTAGTCTTAATGTTGTAGCATTACTTTGTGTTTGCTGTGTACGTATGTGTGTAGGTTTGCCTTAAATGAATTGGTAACCGTACGTCAATCATTGGCGCCAACGCTGACCCCACGCACATGTTACGTGCATTATAGGACGACTATGTCATAGATCAGCTTTAAAGACTAAAACCTATCTACATTGTCAGACATAGTTGGGATTCCTATATAATCAGCAAATATACCTTATAGGTTATGAAATATTGTATGCCAATCGTAACTTGACCTCCTAGGCAAGTGTAACTGGGCTAGCGATATTGCACAGCATTTCTAAGGCAGCAGATGAGGCAGTATCTAACTAACCACCCACCAATTTACAAATATGATAAGTTCACATCTCTGAGACGATCTGCTCGATCACAAGAAGGTAACAACCACTAGAACTTAGGGATACTCGAAGCCAGAGAGGGTGAAGATGCAGTTAAGGACCATCTAAATGGTTACCACATTAACCTAAAACTATGTTTTTGTTATGGCTACAAGCTGGCGTCATTTTCTGAACGTTTTTTGCTGACGTCACAACACCCAAGGAGCCTAAATCTTCCCACACAGATTTTTTCCTGACAGGTGATGTTTGTTTTGTTTTTGTATAATGGAGGACTAAGGTGGGCGTGACCTTGAGCGTTACGACAAGAAAGTCGAGTAATTGAACAAACGATTGTAGTTAGTCGGACGATGGGGGTCGAAAGTTAACGCGACAAATGCGATTCGGACGGTAACCTCTGCCGTAGCTCCTGTATCTGGCGGCGGCCTGCGGCACAGTGTTGCCATATTTGTCGGTTATGTACACGGTGTCGTCGCTTACGGCACCGTAATATCTGTACGGGTTGACGTTGTAAGAGTAATAATCGGTGTAGGTTTGGTATCCGGATCTCGGTGTAAGTACTCTGTACTGGCGATAGTAAGAGGGCTCACCTGTGGCCGGCGCTATAACTAGGAGGAAAAGGGACCATGAAACTGTAGTCCACGCGTCCATCGTCTGAAATCACAAATCAATTGATTAAGCGCTGTTTCCGTTTTAAAGTGACTCAAATATCTTGACAGATTTGGGCGATGTTTGCAGCACCGGGTTTTTTTACGTTAAAAACATGGAAATTTAACTCGGCGTATTTATTGTCTTGTATTGTGTATTTCAACTTAGCATTATGCTTTGTAGTTTTAGAAACAACGCTCAAAAGCAAAAGCCTCGTAATATAATTCTGAATTACGACAATGATCCGTTGTCTGATAATTATTTGCCTATCTTATGTGGTTACCATAGCAATCATTCGAATGTAGGCAACACTCCTCACAACAGCACGAAGTATAAGTTGAACGTTTGCGTTTCGAGTCAATTGTTATTTTTTATACAATTAACAACACTCTTAAGTCTTGGCGTATGTCCGAATATGGTATTCCGCGAACCCATATAATACATATAATGACTCATATTCAAGACCGGCTTCATAGCTGGTAACCTTTAAATCAAGTATTATCCAATGTTAACGCATCGTTTTTGCTTACTGAGAGGTCGTGGTTATCAAACGGTAGAGCTGTAGGCTACACTTTTCAAAAAATTGCGCTTGTTAATTAGGTAATAGAGAAACTAACCTGAGACACTTCGAACGCAGTAAAACTGAAAATCAGCTGCTAGGAAAAAAGCAAGACTTACATTACATTACATACAAAATATTGCAAACGAATGATGCATTTTTAACAATTTTTTTTGACCTGATAATAACGTAATTGACGTTTAAAAATGGGTTTTGTTATAATTAATGACATAATGCCATATGGTTTGGGAATGACGATACTTATATACTTGAAACTATGTATATACTCAGTAGAATATGGCGAACTTTACCCAGTGTACCAACCTACAAAAATATATGTTCTAAAATTTACTCATCCGCGATATTTAGTGCCTAGATACTCATAGAAATATATTAGTATAGACCCTAGAGATAACAATAATAATGTATAAAATATAAAATAAAATTTTTCATAATTAGTATACCACATTTCCAACATTTTTTCCAATTCAATTGTTTCGGATATCCCAACAATAAACACTTAAAATGAGAGCTGATGAACAAGATATGGGTTTTAAAACTAGTTTCGTAGAAAATAAATTTAATGACATAAATGACATATATGAATTCGAAACAAATATATCAAGTACAGCGATATTTAACTTAAAAATTTAAAAAAATTGTTAAACTTTGATAATGTCAGATGTTACGTATGGACTTGAGAATTCAGGTAGTACGAAATTCACGTCTCAGACCCATTTGTGGTATCAGACAAAGACAACAATTTTTCTCATAAATTATGAGACAGTAAAATGGTTCATAAAATTGTATTAAACAAAAAACTAACATATCTGTATAACGATATTTTGCCTCGTAATAACCCCCAATTACGACACCATTTTAAGTTCAGTCTTAGATACAAAACAGATTTTTTTTTTTGAATTATTTTCGTTTCAAAGTGTGCAACAACAATTCTTACTCACTTAAGCAAAGAACTCTGGCACAGTTCAACGTTAAACGATTAAAAAAAAACACATAAAATGTAGTACTAAAAATGAGATTTGAATGCTTTAGATATCAATAAAAGTCATTAAGTCAAACCTACATGTTTAATTCATAATTATTATATATTTCTAATTATATTGTCTATTAGTTTTTTAAGATATTATAACTTTAATAAATTTTTTCCGCTTAAGATGAAAATCGAAAAATTTTTCTTTAGTTTTCTTTTCTCTTGAATTTTGTTGTGCTTTAAAATAAAGACTTACGTATTTATTTATAAATAGTGTGGTGTTCCAAAGCTTGCCCATAGATCAAGTTAATAGCAATAAAGAGGAGCTTTAGGTGTATAAAATTAAAGCCCTATCCTGCAAGCGGTTGCTTTATATAAAGGTCATACCTTCAACAGAAATCTCAAAATCGGTTCTACACTTCGCGACCTCACCAGCACACGAGACGCGACTGGCTGATTTTGTTTACATTCGTTAAAACTTTATTGCAAATATTATCCCCACTCGTTACCTGAAATCCGTTTCAAACAAAATCGCTAAAAAGTCAATAACAACTATCGATAAGCGTGGACGTTTCTTATTTGGCATGCCATTTGCATCCATTAATTATGCAAATTAATTATTTCAGAGCCAACCACAAGAGCGGACAACCGCCTCCTATAAAGTTTTCGATGGCAATTTTAAGTTGTAGACGAAGACTATATACGTATTTTCGCTCCATTAAAATATTCGTTTAGGTTGCTCTACTGTCAGCGAGAGCCACCTGCGGTTTTGTTTTCGAACGCGAGCAAAAATAAAATAAAAATAATGCCGCAAAAAAAAAGACCTTCGTACAACCATAATTTATTATGTTGGTCCAGTGGGAGGCAGAAACCGGAATAGACGAAGTGCTTTACGTAATGGCGACAACTAGAAATGGCAAAAGTGTGACCGAATTATTTTCGATTACATAATTATTTATATTTTTAATTATTTCAGTATTAGTAAGTAAAAAAATACTTTTAAAACAAAAAACACGTCAATCAACAACTTGGCAAATAATAAGTATATACAAATTCTAGTCAATAAAAATAATTCAACAGCGTGAGGTCCGTTCAATCAGGGTAACCCGATTACGTCATCAACACAACCCCCTGCAACAAAAAATCCAGAGTTCTTCTTCTTCCGACAAATAGCCAAACAGTTCAGACTAGAGCGTTTAAATCAAAAAAGAAGAGATTTTGTCAATTGACATTTAGTTAACTGACATTAATAACATAATTTTTGGTCGACAAGAGCAGTGTAATTTCTCCAATGCCTTTAGGTGACCAGCTCGAAAACCAGAATCCTTCGGTGTTTGGCAAAAGCGAGGATAGAAGCACCACCTTAGAAGAAGAAGACGATTCGGTCGTAGACGACTTCGATCGCAGAGAAATTTTCGGTGAGTAACGTGCCGGTAAATATTGATATAGCCTTCAGGATATTTTTAGATTTGATCCGTTCCATAAACGATCCAGAGCATCCACTATCGTTGGAAGAATTGCACGTTGTCCAGGAAGATTTAATCCACGTGAAAAACAATGAAAATGATGTCCATGTCCACTTCACCCCTACAATTCCGCACTGTAGCATGGCAACTTTGATAGGACTATCTATACGTGTGAAATTGTTGAGGTGCTTGCCGGTCAGATTCAAAGTTAAGGTAGAGGTTACTCCAGGTACCCACAACGCGGAGCAGCAGGTCAACAAACAGTTGGCCGATAAGGAACGTGTCGCTGCTGCTTTGGAAAACCCCCATTTGATCAAAGTCATCAATCAGTGTGTGGCGCCGCGTATTAGAGGATAAAATGGTGCCTCTGCAATCGTCCCAGTACGAGATAAGTTCCGCCTATCACAAAACCAGTCGCTACTTAAGGCGGATACTTAAATTTGAACAAATGGACTTTGAGTTCGCGTTGTGGCAGATGTTTTATTTGTTCGTGGCGCCCCAAAAGCTGACCAAGTTGTTCCGAGCTAGAAAAAACTCAAAGTCGCAATACGCGAGAGATGACCCGGCTTTTTTAATACTGTTTTCCTGTGCGTTGGCTTTAACATCGGTCGGGTTTGCAGTAGTGTTAGGACTCGGTTTCTTACAGTTTTTGAAATTTTTAATGCTAGTTATTTTCGTTGATTGCGTCGGGCTCGGTGTATTAATTGCGACCCTATTATGGTACTTGACGAATAGATTTCTAAAGCCGAAAAATACTCCTCAGGACGTCGAATGGGGACTGGCGTTTGATATACACTTAAACGCGTTTTTTCCGCCTATTATTCTCTTACATTGCATACAGTTGTTTTTCTACAACGGCTACATTAATCACGAGTGGTTCGTCTCTATTTTATTGGGGAACACATTCTGGCTCGCCGCTTCCGTGTACTATATTTACATAACATTTTTAGGTTATAATTCTATGCAACTTTTAAACGGAACCAATTTGTTTCTCGCGCCTATTCCTTGGCTCGCTTTCGCTTACGTCATCACCCTGGTGTGTAGGGTTAACATATCTCATATAGTTCTAAATTTCTACAAATATCGTGTATTGTAATCCGGTAAACAATATAGCAATTAGATCTTGAGTCTTTTATTTTTTTGCGTAATTAACGATATAGGTAAGAAATGAATTGCCTGCTTTGTAGCTATTAAATCAATTTATGTTTTGTCTAGTTTCCTTGTTTTATCGCATCTAATACAGATGCGTTTCGCTTGTGCACAGAACAACTTTGGAAAGTTCTTCTTAGCTTCTATTGGGAAAAAATATTATGATCACCATGCCACTCTGGAAAAGTTCGAATTTATATCACAGACTGACGAACATCGGCTTCTTTTGTGTAACGGGCAAATTTACAACTCTCACTTGACAAAAACTATGCGCCCACCTAATTCCAAATTCCAATTTAAGGCCCCAAAGAAATAATCAACATGCATTACACGAATGAACGCACTCCAACCAAATAAAAACATCAAACGCTCGATAGGTTTGCCATCGCCAAAATAACCAGTAAGCGAGCATTTTTCCTGCAAAATCTAAGGCTTGCGATTAGCCTAGAAAGCGACCCAAGAGGTGGTTGCAGCACATCATTTTATGGATATGGATATATCTGGTTGGATATGTAATATGCAGATGATATTGTAACATTCAGTGTATATCTGACGATTATCGCAGACTTCTTTACATGACCACCGTGAACATCATTCTGTAAAAGAGAAAAAACATATACCTACGCCTATTATTAGTATTAGTCAGTGAATCCTCGGGCCTAAGTAGAAATTGTTTTTATTATCTGGTCAGGTGTCAATTTTGACATTTTGCTTCCCCCTGCATCTGAAAAACAAAGTTCGTTGTATATGCTGATGCTCGTGCCTGTGGAGTGAAAAAAGGTCAAAGCTAATCCTGCGATAGTTGAATGCTTTTCTAGGAAATTTCCCACCATGAGCTATCAATTATTTAGACCAAATATGTTTGCACTTTAAAGTCATTTTAATCGCCATTTTTCGTAATAGCGGCTTTATTTACTTTGTTCATCGATGTTAAACCTATAAGTTTAAAAAAACAAACTCTTTGCAGGGTAATTTTTTTAAATAGAATTGCTTGACGCCGTACGGAGCGTTATTTTTAATTACGACTGTTATTTGTCGGACATGTTAGATATGTAAATATCCTTGTTTCGGACGACCCAAAATATTGCGTTAATCGCAATTACTCTATATAAAAATGGGCATATATTTCCATACATTCTTGGATATTAATCGCAAAACTCATGAATATGCATGTTCGCGCGTAATCGCGTGATTTACGAGCAATAGATCTATTAAGCGGTACGGAAAACACCGCGAATCGCTGAAAATAATTGCTAATAGACGAGACAAGAAACCGCAAAGACGACACTACAAAAAGCCGTGACTTTGTCGATCTGGACGCATACACCTCTTGGCTACCGGCAAAAAATAAAGAGCGTAATGAATCTAGGTTTTCTAACAGTCTTGTGTGTGTGTGCCATCGTCTCCGCGGTGGCATCTGATGGCGTAAACAATGGCGTCGGTGAGTCGCTCAGTGTTATTTTTTCACGACCAAGCAATTTCAATTATTTAACAGGGAAAAAAACAATATTTCATGGCATTATCGGTTTTTCAACTTTTTATATCTTCTTATACTTTTAACAAACCTTTGGGCAGGATCACTTAGATCATTCGCCCATTGCCGGTCACCTTTTTTTGACGTGTTCCACCAGGAATTAAATTTATTTCTCCAATATCTCTCGTGACCCAACTAATAAGAAGCATTATTAGGAGTACTACGAGAAGGTTGTAACTTTTTTTCGAAGACATTTAAAAGGTTCTCACTTTTTGCAGATTGCGGGCCGAACGAAGTATATAACGCTTGCGGGTCCCTTTGCGTGGCGACATGCAACGCCCGCCATTTTGGAAATTGCGCTCAGCAGTGCAACCCGGCGTGTTTCTGCGAAGATGGTTACATACGTTCCGCCATTGGCGGTCCATGCGTAAAAGTGTCCGAGTGTAGATTTCATATGGGAAAACGATAAATAATAATAAAAGATATATATTATGTAGAATCAGTAAAAACACATTGGTATTTATTAATAATAAATTCCGAAAGTTTTATGGAAAGGCAGACCTTTATTCAAAATATCGCCAGCGTGTTTTCGCCTAAAGTCCCAAAGAAAGTGGTCGATCAATACGGAATTGATTTTTCCCTCTGCACCTAATTTCGCCACTGCGTATTTCTTGAGAAGTTCGACCGCGTGGATTGAGCATCCTCTGATTTCAACCTCGTCACTTTCGCCGCAATTCAAAACCACGTTTTCCGATAGTTTTTTGTGCAAACGCTCACTATAAGTAAACACTCCGAACCACAGCAACGTTTGCGGCACCCTGTAGTCGGCGAACATAGTAATTTGATTGATATTTTTTAAATTTCGAAAACAAGCCCAAATGTCGGCGACGAGGATCTGCGCCCTCTTGTAAAATGCAACTTTGCGCCCTCTATATTCCGCCTCGTCTCGGAAGCATTTAAAGTTTTCCACAATCAGCTTCAATAACTGCTTAGCATCATTGTTGGCTTGTTTCACGACATTCTGGAAAGAGCCCTCAAATTTCTCTAACAAAACTGATCCCACTTCTCGGAGGCATTTCACTCTCTCAAACAGAAGTGGCGTTTCCACTTCAGTATCGCCCCGTAGTACCTTTCTCAACTGTTGGTCAGTAATAACCGAAAAAAACATTGGGTTTAAAATGTCAACTTTTTCTTTTAGGGCCCTGTTTATGGCGGCGCATAGAGCAAAATAGCCCGTGTAGCCGTCGACTTTCCAACCCTCTTCGTGTTCGTGATGCCAAAAGCAAAAGTTTAGGGTGTCGACTATGAAAATCCACGCAAGAGCGTGGTTATCCTCCGCCTTGGGGTGCACTTCTACCTGGCTGAAATTATCCGGTATCAATCGGCCAGCGCTTATTTGGTCTACTAAAACATCGCCTAGCTTCTCGATTGCGGCGTTATTAATTGTTACGTTTTCTGCTAAACCTGCGATTAATTCACCAGATTCGCGGGGACCTAACATTTTCAAAGTGCGGTTTAGATCACAGAATACTAACTTTCACCTTTTACCAATGATGGCGAACTGACACAGGCAACTTGGCCATAAATTACATTTCACACGATTTCTTCTTCTTATTACAATTAAAATTAGGGTGCTCTAAAAAAAGAAGAAAATAGACATTCTAGCCACTAAGACAATGACACTGACCTTGGATCGTCAATAATTCATTAAAGAGAAATGTTTAAGCTCATTCAATAAAAAAAAAAGATTTATTACTTACCGTTAATTGCGGTTTCTCATGCAACAAATGGCATATGGTACGCAAGTTTCCTTTTAATCAAGGCTAATTTTTTGACGTAAGCTCTATTTTTAGCATATTATCTATATCATGGAAGACTTTGAATTGAAATCAACTTTAACATCATCGAACACGTCCGGGTTGAGCACTTGCCACGAGGATTCGAGCCTCGATGGATCTGGCATCTTTGACCGGTGTCATTCCGAGAACATACAAGATTTGCGCAACAAAATAGATATCCTACTCAAAAATAACTTTAGCTTGGGAGACCAACTGCTTAAAGCCAATGAACAAATCAGTAGACTTTTAGACACTAATAAAACCAACAGATCATTTAAATTGGAAAGTGAATTGTATGGTTTACGTCCTTTGATTGGTGAATGTAATGTCTTGAAACAAACCAATGAAAAGGTCGAGTCAGAAAATGTGACTTTGCAAAATAGGTTAAAGGAATATTTATGCGACTTGAGGGTCAAAACTGGCTTAATTGGAGAACTTAAAGATAAAATTGTGCAACTGGAGGTTGACAAACAGACTTACATGAGTGACTATGTTAGGGTTAAGAAAAATCTGGATAAAGCGTTGTTAAAAGTGGATGAACTTGGGAAACTTCAAAAGTGGTATGAGGATCAGCTAAAAGCTGGCCATGCCGAGAAGGGTGTTCTATTGGGCAAAATTTCAGAGTATAACATAAAAATTGTTGAATTAAACAAGAAAAATTCAATTTTGAATATTAAACTGCTTGAGATGCAAAACCAGCACCTTCAAATGAGTTTAAATAATTCAAAAGAGGATGATCAGTTAATGGAGAAAAAAAATGTTTTTTTTCTAGTGCCTGATACCTCGCTTGACTTTGAACGACACTGTTCCGAGTCTGAAGATCTCAGTGCTGAATTATCAATGGCAAAAGAGCGGACAATAGATTTGGAAAGGCAGTTGGAGAGGTTAAAATTGGAAAATTCAGAGTTAGTGGCCAAGTGTTTGGTGCAACAAAAGTGTTTAAGTGAGCAGGAAGGTGTTAATCATGAACTGCACAGGTCTAAGAAAGAGTTGGCTATTAATTTGGACAAGGTGCTAAAAGATAATTCCGAGAAGTGTATTGAAGTGTTAAATTTGAAAAATGACTTGAATGAGTTGAAGGTGGAAATTAAAAGCGGAATTGAGGAGAAGCAACTCATAGAGAGTACAGTGGAAGTTATCAGAAGCCAGCTGGGAGGTTTTAAGCAAAGTTATGAACGGGTAAGTGTTGTCCTGTGGATTATTGAGATAATAGGAGTGTCTTCTTTCTAAAATGTAAACCTGTAAAAATTTGGTATATTTTATTTGCCGCATGTATAGGTTTGCAACTTATCTTATTATAAAGTGAGGTTAGAAATGTTAAGTATATGTGTAAACAAAGAAGTTCCATTGTCAGTGTCCACAAACTCAAATTGGTTCGTCAAAGATTCGGAATAGTGTTTGTTTTGCAAGAATTAAACTTTACCTATGTAGTATAATAAATAAGCTGTATTAAACTATTCTATGGGAAGCAAACACCACACTTTTATTTAAATTACACGAAAAAATAATTAATTTGAACTGAAGTGGCTTTTACTTGATGAAAATCCATTTAACAAAATAAATAAGAACTAAAAGTTCAGTTTTTCACGAAATTTTTCGACAACACCGTGTCTTTATCAAATGAAATATTTACAAACTAGCCGGTACTATATATACCGAAAAATGACAATAAAGTCTTAACTAAGGTTGTGAGAATTTAAGTTCTATAAAGGAGAGGTATTTAAATCTAACTGATCGTTAAGCAATACATTTGAATGTCTCATTTTGTTATAATCTCCATGGTTTCCAATAAATTTAATTTTCTACTTTTTGTGGCTGTATGTAAAATATCAAAATTGTCGTCAAAAATGTGTTTTTCTGTGTTTTAAGTGTGTAGCATAATTGGAATCTAGACTTTTGTTTTTAAAAGCTCTTTTATGTTCGTTAATGCGTTTCTTGGAGGATCTACCTGTTTGTCCAATATAAATTTTAGGACAAGATCCGCATTTCAACCTGTAGACACCTGATTTTTGAGATTTTGGACATTTCGTTTTATTGTTTTTTAAAAATTTTGCTATTGTGTTAGTTCTGAAAGTTATTTTTAAATCACATTTTGTCAAATGTTTTGATACTTTTTCACTGGGTTCTCCTATTTATGTAAATGTTTTAAATTGTTCGTGTTCTGTATTAGGTTTCGGATAAATAGAGTTTACTGTTGTCTGGATTTGTTTTTTTATCTATAATGGACAGATTGTAGCCGTTGTTGAGTGCAATTTGTTTAATGATATTAAGTTCTGTGTTGTAATCTTCTGTTGAGAGTGGCGTATTAAGAAGTCTGTGTATAAAACAGTGAAATGCAGTCATTTTGTATGTGTAAGGGTGATTTTAGCTGTTATGTATGACTGTGTCCGTGTGTGAGGGTTTATGATAAATGGAAACATGTAATTTGTTTTGCGTTCTAATGAGTTAATCTAATTTAAAAAAGAATTCAATTGTCTGTCCGTTCCAACAAAGCAAGCAAAGACATCATCACATTTGTTGGAACGTATAATCGTATAAAATTCACTATCGAGATTGAACAGGATAACTCTATTAATTTTTTAGATTTAACTATTACGAAAACGCAAAACAAATTAGATTTTTCCATTTATCATAAACCTTCACACACGGACACAGTCATATATAACAGCTCAAATCACCCTTATACGCACAAAATGGCTGAATTTCACTCTTGTACACACAGACTTCTTAATATGCCACTGTCAAGAGAAAATTACAACAAAACTTAATATCATTAAACAAATTGCACTCAACAACGGCTACAATCCGTCCATTATAGATAAAATTTTAAATAAAAAACAAATCCAGACAACAGTAAACCCTATTTATCCGAACCTTAAAACAGAACACGAACAATTACATACATGGGAGAACCCAGTGAAAGTTTCAAAACATTTGTCAAAATGTGGTTTGAAAATAGCTTTCAGAACTAACAACACAATAGCAAAATTTTTAAAAAACAATAAAACGTAATGTCCAAAATCTCAAAAATCAAGTGTCTACACGTTAAAATGCGGATCTTGTCATAAAATTTATTGGCAAAACAGCCATATTGATTAATAGTATAGGCATAGTATATGAAAATACTGGAATGGTGGAAGGGTTTTTATGTATAAAATGGGTTCTAGGTAAAATCGGAATTGCGTGCTTCCAACAAACGCATCCTCCAGCTAGAGAAAGAGAAACAAGATTCGTTTATGAGGGATAACTGGACTGTGTGCGAACTAGCAAAATCGAAGGACAAAGACATTCAGATCGAGAATTTGAAGCGGCAAATCGATGAACGCAACGGAAAATTGATGAAAACGGAGGTTGAGCTGTTAGAGAAAACCAGAGATATCGCAAGGTACGATGCCGCATTATCCCAGTATAGGGACTTGGTTGGGGATATGGAAAGCAAACTGGGCACTCTGGAAAAGGCTCTTAAAGATAAGGAGGAAGCCGAAGTCGACCTTAAAGACAACGTCGAAATTTTGCGGACCGAGCTGAAACGAAAAGACGTCCAGTTGCACCAGTCTTTGGAAAACTCAAAACTGCTAACCAAGACGTTGGAGAAGAACGGGATCATAACCAAACTCCAGAATAATGTCAACCTAATTGATACTGACTACGAGACTTACTTGGGAAGTAGTACGGACGACACGAAGGTGAAGTTACTGTATAAGGGGAGTATTTGGAAGGGAAACGGATTCAATTGCCTGAAAGTTTTTGAGTTATTATCCGTCCAGTTGGAAGCCTTGCCCGGGGTGATTAATCAAAAACTGGCTTGGTGCGAACGTAAAATCGCTAGGTTGGAGAAGCGATGGGCAATTAAGAAAAAGGAAGAAATTGCTCGTAGAGTTAACGAACGGAAAATGGACAACAAATTGAAAAAGTGAGTCTTCGATTGCGAGATACTGCAAATGCGTGAAATTAGTTGCAAAAATTTCATGCCAATTTTGATATTTTCTAATCGATTGCCAAAAAGGTGGTTTTTTCACATATAAATGGGTTTGGTTATTTAAACGCAGGTACCGGTTTGTTGTGTAGAGCTGAGTTTAATTAATTTAATAAGTTTAACAAAACAAATTTTAAAATATTACTTATGTCTACTTGGTATGTCTGCATTAATGTATTATAATATACAGATTTATATTATTTCATGTGTCGCTGTCACTACTATCACTAAACATATACTTTTTTATGCTGGATACTTAAAAGTATCATTTTCTGCCTGCGGTTTTAAATTTTCAACCTTATATTTACATCGTATGAGAATTCTACACAAGTGAAAGATAAATAATAATAATAATAATAGTAATAATAATAAGGCTTCATTGAGAATTAAAATACATTCAAAAATATACAGGATGCATAAGGTACAGTACAATATTATCAAAGCGTGAAATCTAGCTGACTCGGTCAGCTACTCAACATCAACCCACCTCGATAAATCTATCTATAAGTGAAAGACAAATAATAATAATAGTCTAGTCTTTATTGAGAATCCAAATACATTCAGAAATATACATGATGCACAGGATACAGTACATTATTATCAAAGGGTGAAGTCTCAACATTAACTCAACTTGATACATTTGTCTATTATACTTTTTTGCAATACGAAATACATGCATTTTACTCTAATCAGATTTTTAATAATACGAAATCCATGCATTTTACTCTAATCAGATTTTTAATAATAAGCTGTTTACAAAACTTCTGCATTCATGTTGCGTTGGTTGTTGTTGAGTCGAATTTACTGACGTTTCATCAATCATCCTGTTTTCTTCTTCGGAGCTCAACTTAAACTAGTTCTCAAACAGGTTCGGTTAAGCTCTGAAGAAGCCAACAGGATGATGGGCGAAACGTCAGCATATTGGATTCAGAACCAGTTTCACTTAAGCTCTGAAGAAGAAAGGAGGACGATGGGCGAAACGTCAACAAGTTCGATTCAACAATAACTGACGCAGGAGGAATCCAGAAGATTTGTAAATAGCATTACAGTAGCCTGTTGAAGTTTTTTTGAAAAATTATACCAAGATACAAGAGAATCCGGCTTAAACAGAAATAAAATAACAAAAGAAAGATAAAGTATTTACGTATTTAGGGAACTAACTTATCTTTTAAATAGGCCTTATATATTAAAATCAAAGCAACAATTTTTCTGAACGTATGAACGTAATGGAGTCGTTATGAAAAACTTGTATGTCAGTGGGCTTGAATGGAGAATAGAAGTGGTTTTATTTTCATGACTATTTTTGAAGCCTTCGTGGTACAATCTGAACGGAATAGAGAATTAGAGAAGCATGTAAGGCGTTATCGCATTCACTTAGCCACCAATTTTATTGGACATTTCCTCCTTTTTTGCAATTGAAAAGATCGCTAAATATCGGGGGCAGTTTTTTTGCTAGACGTAACTTTTAGCACCCGGAGTATTGTTTTAGGGCCGAATCGGTCAGTCGGGCTCTGCTCGGCATGGTGAAAGAGCATCTGAGAGAAAGGCAATCGGTCGAGAAACATTCGAGCCGTTTGTTTGACGAGAACGATTGTTTGCGGTTGTCGTTGAGGTCCAAAGAGTGTCAGCTCGAGATATTTGAAAAACTCCTGAAAGATTACGACAATGACAACAAAAGGCTGAAGGAGACTGTGGAAAAGTTGGAATATCAGGCCCTGGGCGAATGTTCGGTAGAGGAGCTCAAATATTATCAAACACAATTTAAATTTTTAAAAGATGAAAACTCGCGGCTTAGTGCGGAGGTATGTTGACGAGAAAAGCTTTGGGTGAGTGTAAAAACTCTTGGATTATTTCTAGCTTAAAAAGTTGCAATTAACTAATGGGCTGTTCGATAGTAAACCACGCGAGTTCGAGAGTGAAGGTCAAAAGTCGGAGAGCGTTGAAATAGATATAAAGCGGGAACGGTCGGTTAGCGATGAAAAGGTGAACAATTTCCTGCGTTAATTTTTTAAGATTGCTTCATTTGAACTATTAACGAAAAGTAAGTTAACGCTATTTTAAGGGCTTCCCTTCGGACCTGCAAGAACCTGGGCCGTCGGTGGAGGATCGCTTGCGTCATTTCGAAAACGAAATGAAATCATTGAAAAGCGACAAGTATTTTTTGCAGAGGCTGTGTAGCGACTTAAGAGTGGCCGTCACGACTTATATGGATCAGAATGAGGTGCAATTTCATATCACCGATTCATTTTATTTAATTTACGTGCAATTTTATTACAGAGGCTTAGCGAGATGGTCAGGGCGCTCGGGCCACCTAGTTTACCTATAGTCGATCGGTCTAGTAACTTTGAAGATTGCGGGATAAAAAGCGAGAAATATATCAGGCAGCTAATTGAGGAAAGCAAAAAGTCCATGCGCACAGATGTCATTTCTGAGTTGTATGAATGTTTCAGCGTTTTAAAGGCCGACGCGTGTTCCCTGCACATGCGGATATTAAAGATTTAGTTGGGGTTGTCAGATCCCACCGTTGGTTTTCTTTATTCTTGTTCAAGGTTATAAAAATTCGGTATTAATGTTTACAGTATTTTGGTGCATATGAAGTACTTACTGAATCGCTTAAAATGTAAATTTAAACTTGCCTTGCCATGAGGTTATTCCATCGTATCTGTGATAAAATTGTTGCTATTTGAGAGTTTAATAAACTTGTTGAGCTTCGATTCGGGTTTTTCTTACTACGTAACACACAAAATTGAAGCAATTTTCAACCAGAACACGTCAACTTCAGAAACATTCGGTACCTGTCAAATGTCGAAATTCCTGCGGCTGGTTCACATTAGCGAAATCCCAACTATACTGACCCGTTAAGAAACACGATTCTAATCATCTAAAGTTATACTTTTATACGTGCTTTATAATGCGTAGTAATCGAAATTCTTTACTGGTTGCTTTGTTACCAGGGTGACGCAAGTGTGTAAATGCTTGATATTCTGTACCGTTTAGCATCGTCAAGGCGAACCAAAACTAACCAAAATTGAAAAAGATCAACCTTCGTCACGGGGTACAAAAGAAAAATAACACAAACTTCCTCTTTAAACGAGAACACTAGAATAACGCTACATAATATTTGGTATTTACACACGTGCGTCACCTTGGTTACAAAGCAACTAATAAGAAAAGTATTTCGATTACTACACATTGTAAAATAGTTACGAATTAATACGCGTATCAAAGCATAAGTTTTGCATTTTTCGCAACCACCCACACTTTAGATGATTAGAATCGTGTTTCTTAACGGTTCGGTGTAGCTATTTTTATAGTAAATTTGTTTGTTACGATTGCGCTGATGTGTAAGAGTACCACCAAGCAAACTTAACAAAATGGAAGATTACGCATTAAAGAAAAAACGTTTGAATATTTCGACAAAACAAGTCTCAAACCAATGCTAAAAGAACAGCTCTCTAGACCATCGGGCCTCCAACTGGCGAGAACAGCAAAACCAGCAGCGTCGTACGACACTTTTACACTCAAAGATACATTACAAACACGATTAAACCGGTAAACTGTTTATATTGAAAAATGGAGATCTGAAACACACAGAATTGACTAATACAATAACTTTGAGAATTTCCATTTGCTAGCACAGACACTAGAGTCTTGAATTAAACGAACATGGTTAAAATCACTCTGATGGCTTTGCTCGCATTACGTGAAACGAAAAAGAAGAAGAGTCGCTTATACAACACAACTTGCACACTACGTAGTTTTCTTATCCAACCCAGATGTCGCACTCGACTACAAATTATGGCGTGAACCGGAAATTGCTATGGTTTGAGCCACGATTGCGAAATACTTTAAATGCGATAACGTGAATGGCAACAACCTTATCAACGTCTTATGGCTGGGACCCAAATGACCCCCCTTTTTTGCTACGTATCGAAATTTTATCGCAATTAATACATACAAATATCATCAGCGAATTCAAGCGGCGCCTCAAAAAAATGAAACCGACGTATTTCTGGCTGTTATGCGCTTTGACGGTGCTAGTCGCGAGTAGTGAGTAGATTGCGGCTGTCATTATTTCAAAACCCATTTTTAAAAGATCCGCCTTTCTTTTAAGGTAAATTGCGATGCGAGAAAGACGAGGTGGTTTCTGAATGCGCGTCGCCTTGTCCAGACACTTGCGCACCAAACTTTAACAGTGGCATCGCCTGCCCAAAGAAGCGGTGCGTGGTCGGTTGCGTGTGCAAATCGGGCTACGTCAGAGACGACACCGGAATATGTGTTCTGAGCTCACTGTGTCGCAAATAAAATCTCTAATATTAGTGTAATATAATAAGAAATTGTTTTGTATTGTTTCTGTGAAACCTTGTTTTATAGATAAAAAATCAATCAATGATTTCATTGTGTTCGTGCTTTGATGCCGCTTAGCTTAAATAAATCAAACCTGAGATTTTAAATTCTCGGTATTTTATTCATCAGTGTCAAAAGACGCCAGAGAATTCCCTGGAAGGTGTTTTGTCGTTAAATATGTCAAAAACTATAATTCGTTCAAGGTGGCAGTAGAGTTGGGTATAAAAGATCAGACTTATGACCTAAATTACTGGTCCTAAAGGGAGACATAATGCTGACTTTATAATTTAGCACCGACTTCATTTTTATGTAGGGATAGAGGGGGATTAAAAAATAAATGCTCACGTTAGGGATGTTTTTGATAAATTAAAAAGTAAAAATAGCCAATATCACTTTGGCATATCTAAGCAAATAAAGAATTATTTAATATAGCCTCTTATTCATTTGTTAAATGCCCTAATAAAGGAGGGAGTGTACCCAAATATTTTGGGGTGCTTGGGGTGGGGAAGTTACCGCAATCAACTTTAGACCAATTTCTATTGTATGTTGTATATCAAAAATCGTTGAGTCAGTATAAAAAAACTGAATTAATAAACATTTTGAGAATGTTAGTGTTTATTTCGGTCAGCAGGGAGATCAACCGACTCTGCTATCACCAAGCTGGTTAAAGCTATACTTAAAGGACAAGAAGACAACTTTACGAGTACAACATTCTGCGATTTTACTAAAAAAATTTAAATATCACAATTTTGAAATCTTCAGCCGAAGTCTAGTTAGTGAGGAATGGAGTTGTGCAGCGTAGAGCAATGGGACCTACCCTCATTCTCAGATATATCAACGACCTTCCTGAGGAGCTTTTGAATGGTTGGTTGGCGTTGTTTGCAGATGACACTACATAAAGTGCAAAATTCTTGTCAATTCATTTAGACTCTAGACTAAATGGCTAAAACAATTTCAAAAAATATCTTTCTAGTACGTAGCCTAAAGGGCACTGTAAATTGTAACATATTATTGACAGCATATCAGGCTCTCTAATTGGCTCTCACTTGCTTTATGATCTGATAAACTGAAGCCAGTCGGTAGGTACTGCAAGAGCTTTTGATCTACAACGTAGGGTAATTAGAATAATCACAAACCTAAAATACATAGACGATGTTAGATCGTAGTTTTCGGAGCTTAAATCATTTATACACTTAAGGAGGACAACCTTAGAAATGATTTCTTCCGTCTTAATGCAATTAGGTTAGGTTCAAATTACTGCTGCATCAATTTTTTTAACAAAGTTGAGCCTGAGACAAAACAACTCCCAATAAACAGCTTCAAAAACTTAGTCAAAGTCTTTTCAACAAAGCATTCCTTTTACAGTTTGGAGGAGTTTATCTTTTTTCAAAATGTCATTTTTCGGTGATGTGATAATCTTCGTGCAGCTCTAAGGTACGTCTAAGTGTTTTATAAACATTGTATGTTTTCAATGTTATGTTATAAAATTGTAATTCCATGTTATATTTTATCGCTACGACTGATTCTATAATTGGTTGTATACATTTTATATGTTTGTAACATGCTAATAAATTAAATGAAATAAAAAAATGAAATGATTATGTGACCAGGGAAGGAAATCCCGACGAGATACCGGCAGTTCAAGGCAACAGTTACGCAAGGAGAAAAGTCCCCGGTATCGTCCTGACGCGTCTCGATTGTTGTTGAACGATTTGTTTATTCGGTTTAACGCGCGAGGTTCCAATATAAATCGCGTCCGCGGACCATGTCGGCCATGTTCAACATGAAGACGGCAACAGCGGTTCTTTTTTGCTGCCTTTTGGCTGGAATCAGCTGCGGTAAGTGATAAACCTCTTCCTTTCGCTAAATTTAGAACCTCTTTAGAAAAAAAAATCGATTTCCTCGAAAACGGGGAAAGTTTTGGTTTTGTATAGTGCTTTCGCAGGTAAGTGGTTGATCCAATCGCTAATCTAGTGCTTGTTTTGTCAAGATTGAAGAAAATATTATTATAGTTCCACCAAAAATATAGTTTTTACAACCGACCCTGCGATTAACTTTGCCCCCTATGGAACACCCTGCCGAGCTGACCCTTACACTTAACCACTCCTGGACCGTCTTAGGAATTTATCTATGTACTCTAACAAGCGGGATATAAGTATGTTCTCAATCTTTTTCGCCGAGAAAAAATTAGTACAAAGTAACAATTTATTACGTTCTATTTCATTACATTTTATTAATATACAAAATATTAAATATAATAATAAAGTATTATTCACTGAAAAAATAGTCACTATCGCTACTGTCGTCACCTAGTTCAATGATCAACTCAACCACTAATCGTTCTCGATAAATATTTTCTTCTTTTATTATTCGTTTTTCACAGTTAGACCAGCTTTGTACTGATATTTTAGCTACCTACTGTCCGGTAACTTTTGAAAATATTATTAGTAATTTTTTAAATACTAATTATGATATTTATTTGATACGATTCGCCAAATAAAAATGCAAGTACATGTCAAGCCAATCTGGCGCCATAAATGAATCTCAAACGGGATTTCTGAACTGTCTGGATTCTGCTTTTATCGTTCTGATCCAAACGTGGACCATAAACTACATCTGAAAAATTGAAATTGCCTAAAACAAGATACTCAGTCAAACTCAGTGAGTTTTTTGATGTATTGTTAACAAATGACGATGTGGAAACAAAAGTTTGATATGTTTTCTTTAGATTGTAGTTGTCTAAAGTTTAGGTTAGTATCCAGGTTTCTAGGACAGTTAGAAATTGACAGATTCGTTGTATCATGGAGACTGTGCTTGACCCTATCCAAAAAAAGAACAATTTTTAGACTATGTTTTTCTGAGAATGGCACCAGATGTTACGAAATGTGCATATTGTAAATTTATGTTTACAGATAAAATTAATAAAATAATAATTTTAATTAATTAATTATGTTATTATACATTATTTTTATAATCGTAAATAATATTTTGTCACTGCAAGATTTTTATGTGTTAATATAATAGTTCCAGTATTCTTTAAAATAAAATTAATGTTCATAATTTTTCATATAACAAAAATTTTAAATAAATTTATAAGTATACTAAAATATAATCAAAATTTACAATGCCGACTAGTGCTAGTAGTATAAGATTATTGTTTTCTAAATATTGCTAAGTTTGCAATAGGTTTACTAATTGCTTTTTTCCAGACAGATTTTTTTTAAATCCTATATCGTCTGTTTCGTTATTCGACGAACATTTCTGAAACAAGGTTTGGAGAGCTCTACAACTGGCGTACAAAAAATTCACCTTTTTTTCAGCCCCACCGCCCAGTCAGCAATGCGACGGTCCCAACCAGGCGTTCACTACTTGCGGCACCGCCTGTCCTGAAACTTGTCACGGACCAAAAACAAACTACTGCGTGTTGATTTGCAAAATCGGCTGCGCGTGCAAACCGGGCTACGTTTTGAATGAGAAAACGGGTCAGTGCGTGCACAGATCGGAATGCTGACTGTCATTCGTCCGTGATGCGGACGGCGTCCAGGGCCAACTATTCTATAATTTAACCATAAAACGCCCGACGAATGTGATATTTCGTATGCTTTAATTGTTGTTTTTTTGAAAATAAACGTTTTTCCAAGTATTGCTCGATTACTACAAGGAATTCGATACGATTACCCAAACTTAAGTATTGAGTTTGAGAATGAATCATTAAATCTTGTCAGATCCTATTTTTGTGAAAGGTCACAACAAGTTCTGGTGGATGGTGTTTTTCATAATCTGCACTTAAATGTACAACCTCAGGCAAGAACATCACTTAGTTAGCCATTACTTCCGATATAATTCTACTAAAGGATGTTTCTCAGCAATTGCTTAACTCCAATTTACTCTTTAAACCTGAAAAAATCGGATCATATAACACATAAGATTAATGAACGTCAGCGGTTGAACATGTTTTGTCATTTGGATCGTTTTTTATATGGTTTAGCAAAACCCTCTCTTCTTATTTTAGAAAATATTAAAAATATATTCAAGCTGAACTGTGATATGCATGAACAAATTAAAATTTTCACGGGCCGGATATAATTTTGTCTTTTTTTTCTTCTTCTTTATGATTTACTTATTTATTATTGGTTTGTTATTGCATTGGGAAGAGTAGGTAATGATATGTTTACCTTCTTTTTGGCACACAATTTATCTTAATCTGTGAGTTTGTTGTACATCTATACTGTAATTTTTATGAACAAATTCGATTATTATTATTTATTGTTATTATTTATATTATTATTTTTTATAAAAGTGCCCCAACACGGGTTTACCAGTGTTAAGTTTGAATATCCTTAGGCAAAATTTCACCCTGTATATATTTATATCGCTTGTACATTGATACTTCTGAATAAAGCCGAGGTGGTTATAAACTTATTTAATTGAACTAACAAAAAACAATGATATTAAATATATAGAATAAATTCATAGCTAGGAATATCTATACATAATTACATTACATAACATTTTACATTACATAACCATGTTCTATCAATGTAAATCATAGATCTGTTGTGTAATCTATATCTTTTAATTTCTTGAAGGTAATTAAATCTCCAAATGTGTGCCTGTGCCTTTTGTCGTTGTTGTTTGTTCGAAATGCATAATATTCAACAGTGCCACAAATGGTTAACACCGAACAATATCAGAATGTAATAAATACACCTGGCCCACCCCTGATTTGTCACTAGAGTTCGAATAGCTTTTTGTTAATGGCTTTACCCAATAATAATAATTAATAACATCGTTAAAATTTTCTTGTGGATGGTCGGTCGAAAGCCAACACGATGAAGATTGAGACGGACTATAGCATTATTCGGGATTGATTCTATTCTAATGTGGTGGTGCTGAAATAATGGATGTACACCGTTGGGATCCACTTTGTGGGCTTTGGTAAACCATTCCGAACTAATACAGGTACATTACAGGCGTTATTTTATTTCGATACATGGCACAAAATTAATTATTATCACAAGCAATCACGATCACGCCTCAAAGAGCCGCGCATAGCGCGAACTGCTTCACTATGTCGCCCGCTTGGCCCGGAACCTTCTCGACGCTGCCGGTGGCGCAGTTTTCGATGTTGGGGCCCAGGTTCTGGATCAGCTCCTTGGTTTTGGTCACGTCGTCCGAGATTTTCTTCGGACTTTCGACGATATCGCTCTCGATCTTAGCGCTGAGCTTGGCCAGGCAAGTGATCTGCTTCAGGCCGCTGCCGCAGTTGTCTATTTCGTCGCCCACGGACGCGAGATCGGTTTGGATCGCTTGAGCTCTGTTCATGCCGTCGGTAATGTAGCCCTGTGCCGTTGAGATTTGAGAATTGACGCACTGCAGCAGCTCGTCCATCAACGTGTCGGGCAGTTCCTTGAATTGCGTCTCGTATTTCGCGCACTTTTCCAAGTTGATGCCTGAAACAGAAGGTTTTATGCCTACCCCCAATATAGCTTTTACGAGGGTACGGTGAAAAGTTTCCGGCGTGACCAGGAAACACATAAACATAACCTCAATCAACATTGATACATTTCTCGAAATGGTGTTCTAATTTGGTTATATCAGTTTTAAACGTAGATTCCTCAAGCCCCTCAAGATGTTGATTTTGCACTTTTACTGTTAAGTCATTTTTTGAGGTTAGGAAACAGGTAATAGTCGCTGAGGGCCAAGTGTGGAGAGAATTGAGGTTCCGGTATCAAACTTCAATTTGTTAACTTTGGAAATGCGCTTCACAAATGAGGTCATTTAATTTGCACCTCGTACTTCAATAACTCTGCGTAGTATTGAGCAGTGATAGTGTTAACCCTTTTCAAGGTAATCATTGATTATAATTCCTCTCGCAAACTAAAAAACACTAGCCATAACTCCTTTGTAGTTAGTGCACCTAGCAACCAGCTGTTTTGACCTTATTTTGAGGAGTGTAGTGATGCACACAAGTCGCATCAACAGTTATGAATCGTCAGTGGACATGTTTTTTCGTAAGTTTCACCTTGCACACAGCTTATCCATGCTCCAATGCTTGTGCAAAATATTTCGCACACGTTCAGCTGATATCCTACAGGTCTCAGAGCTATCTCAACCTGCATTCTTCACATACCATTTGGTGGATTTTCTCAATCATTTTTGAAGTTGTGACCTCAACCTTGAGCGAGGCTCGTCAGAGGTGCTCACACGTCCCAGTGTAGAGCTTCTTTAATTTGTTTTGGTGAAACACCCTTGAAATCGAAGTAATTGATGATTCCAATTTTTCCAATGTCAGCGATTAGGTAGACATAGTGGCGCCACCTCTCGGGCAGCCCGGAAACTTTTCACCCCACCCTCGGCTAGCAGTTTTGCAATGACGTCTGCAAGACTACTTTATCTGTAAAACCTATGCTGTATAATTTGTTGCCTGCTTAAAAACATAGTTACAAAACTTTTATTACTGTTGCGATGTTTATAAACCTCTATAGGTTTTAAAGTACCTAACGGATATTCTATAGCTTCATGAAGGCCCGCTAGCATTTTCAGCTAGAAATGATTTTGATACAATTAAATTAGAACAAAAAATGTTCAGATTTTCGTAGTTATTTAATACAGGCAACACCGTGCCTGTATCAACTACAAAATATGACAATATTCGGACATCTATGTATACAAACAGGGTAGTAATAGACTCTTAATTACCGGTGTAGTGTTATAAATTTAAATTTAACAACGACGACATACTTAAATCCAACTAACCTGAAGATATAAAAAAGTTAAATTCTTTTAGTTTATTTTAGAAAATGTAAACTTATGCACGACTTCGTAGGTTCTCGAAATATGTATTTGTTAGTTAGTATATGAAAAAAGAATAAAATAATAGGTATAAAACTGCATTTAATTTATTCTTTAGGTAGATTTTTTTAAATAACTTATTTAACTGATGATTTAATCTTTTTGGTTCAATTAATATATTGTTTATATATACTGGAACTATCTAGTATAAAGAAAGTATAATAACTGTATATTATTTAACATTTGTTTGGTAAATATATTATTATTATAATCTCATTTTGTTAATAGCTTCCAAACTTTTCTATGGAAAGTGGTATATTCAGTAGAATAGGTAGAATAAGAGAAACATGGGTATATAAAACAGGTAACCTAGAAATAACCGTTAAAGTTTTTAATTTTTTTTTTATTTCAAATTTTTAAATTTAACCAGGTCAGTGGGTTTAAAAATCTACTGTAGCTCCCACGTTTTCACTTATATAAAGTCATTTTATTATTATTTATTTTAATTAATTTTTCTCTATTTTCTTCTTATTCTATCAAACCAATAGGTTTAACACCCTGAACTTTTAAACAGCATTTTCAATCCTGTGCTACATCTTCATACACTACATGTGCTCCGAAAGACGAAAATCAATGCGATTGAAATCTGGACTCCTAGGCGGCAAAGGCGTTTGACTCCCGCGCAAAAAGCGATGAAAAACAAAATTTTGACATCAATTTTTTTTGAAAAAAACCGTGTTCTGTGTTTCAGAGGTCAAATGGAAACCTTAAAGAAAAAGAATGTAAAATTCCAGGGGTTAATCTAGCTACTCAGTATATTGGATACATTTATTATTAATATTTCACAAGGTTAGGATTGAAAATTAATAGAAAAAACTACGTGTATGGTCGGTGAGTAGGACTAATATCCACGTGTGACAATACTAGTAAATCAGGAGAATATTGAACGAGGAAAGCAGTATCTGGGTTGTATGTTGCATCATAATTGGGACCGACAAAAAGTGATTGGGTATGGAACAGAGCAGACAAAATTGCTTTCGAAAAATCGTCGCTGGGCGGGGCAGGGACTTTTACTTCTCTACTAAATTTGAAGTCGATATCTGCAAAGTTAGGACACTTAACACATTTCTCATTTAGCACGGAATATCGGGCACTCCCTGTACAATAGGTGAAATGTTTTAGCCATCTATACGGGCTATATCGTCGTGTAAAAGAAACTAACATCTGAAACACAGTCTTTTAGTTACAGCCAATTTTCAAAATTAAGGGGACCAATTTTTCAGTTTTTTTTATTATGCGTATGCTGTACATTTATGAAAAAAAAAACGCGAATTTTTATTTTTTTAAATAAAAAACAAAACTATAAAAAAACCTCACAAATCTCAAATTCAAACTAAAACTCTGTTTGGTCAGTTCTTTTGTATGGTGTAGAGGCCCAGGCGTTAAAAGTAAATTCTAAAAATTAATAAGAAGCACTTGAGATGTGCAACAAATGAAGAAGTGCTTGGGACATATTATGAGAGGAAAACGAGATGAATATGAAGAAAGACACTCTCGTCGTTGCGGGATTCAAAATTTTCGAGATCTCTTGATCTTCTGACGACGGAAGTAACCAACGAAAACCAACTGGCCTTGACTGCGAACTTATGGCGTTGATATTAATAATAAAAATGTTTGAAAATATCAAAATCTCGACGATAAGAACCTTTTTCTTTGGCTTTGGCGTTAATCTCGTCGATTTCCTTCTGGAAACTGTCCAGCGCGCCCTGGATACTTTCCTTGGCTGACGTTTCCAACTGGGTAGCTTCCTGTTTGATCAAGTCGAGGGCTTCGTTCAATGTGGAATTCGCGTTGCTAATGGCAGTACCCATATATTCGAGAAGTTCGTTGTACAGCTTCTTGACCTCATCTTTCGCACCATCTGCCGACGAAGTTTCCACGGCGAATCCCTAAAAACGCACGACGTTTAACACAACAAACCGTAGGGGGTTTCGTAACCCACCTGAGAGATTAAAACTGCCGCCAAAAGGAACACACTTTTGCTCAACATATCGATAAAGATTGCGTCGGTTAGACCGGATCGATACTTGAGAAAATCGATTTCTCGAACTTATATACCCACACTTCGAGTATATCTTTTATTTGATCTTCGTGTTTCATTTCCCAAATGTCGCAATGATAAAGAGTTTCAAGTGCCATTATGTATTTCGAAATGCAATTGGTTTGTAAATACAGGGTGGCCCTTTTAAGAAGGGCTCATACCTACGGGGATTACAAAAAAAATATAAAGACAGTGAAAACTTCCTATAGCGAAACTCTGTATTACGAACAAAATTTGTTGTACTATTAGGTCTCCATACAAAGCTATGTAAAACTAGCAGAAAAGTACCCTGCTGACGACATTTTTAAAGCTGACGAAACTGGTATTTATTACAAAATGACTCCAGATAAAACTCTTAAATTTGGAAGCGAAAAGTGTGTGGGTGGAAAATTTTCTAACGAACGTATAACAGTGTTAGTAGCTGCCAATATGAGTGGGAGAGAAAAAAGAAAACTAGTCGTAATTGGAAAATCAACTAATCCACAATGCTTTAAGAACATTTGCTGGTCACTTATAAGGCAAAGAAGTCTGCATGGATGACATCGCAAATTTTTGAAGAGAATATACGGAAATTGGATGCAGAATTAAAGGGGAGGAAAATATTACTTCTCTTAGATAACTGCCCTGCACATTGGCTGACAGTCGATACAGGAAAAACATTTTAATGGAAATGATCGAGTTCGAAGACAAATTTTCTATTAATATGCTAGATGCCGTCAACTTTGTTAGTAAAGCTGGGAAAAAGGTGACATCAGAAATAATTCAACACTCCTATCTTCACGCAAACACAATGCGAACAGCATTTGGATCTGCCAGTGGATCTACAAGTGAGGAGTTACAAGATTTGATGGTAATAGATGAGGATTTGCCTACAACAGCAGACTTGACAGAGGAAGCCGTATTACAACAAACAAGAAAGGGTGAGGAAGAGCACCAAGAGGAAGAAGAAGATCAAGAAGTTGATCTGGGACAACCACCAACCATTCAACGAGCCCTATATTCAGTTAAGCGGCTAGAATTTTTTTTTATGTATCATGGGGAAGATGCCAATCTCGAAGAAATAGTGAAAATACAAGCCAGAGTACAAGATGCGTATTGGCATACTAAAAAAATTCAAAAGAAAATGACCGATTATTAATTAATTAATTTTAATTAATTAATAATAAATAATTAATTTATTAAGGGTGGTAAAAAAAGTTGCATATGGATATGTGACGCGCCGTTTCGATCTTATTAGCGATCATCTTCAGAATTCAGGTTATGTTTAAGCCATCATTGTTGAGTTGCTTATTAACTTTGCAAACTTTCTTCCATCTAATATTTTTACGAAAATGATGCTTTTTTTGGGCAAATATGGTCCCTAATAAATTCGAAACGGTGCATCGCAGACCCATACATACATCGCTGGATTTGTCATTCAAATGACTATCCAAAAATTCAGTAAAATGTAGGCTGTTCTATTTAAAAAATATAACTTTGTTTTACCGCCCTGTATATAAAAAAGTGACGGTTATTAAAATAACGAAATAAATGTTATTTTAAAAGAAACAACTTTTGTATTTAATTTTTTTTGTAACCCCCGTAGGTTTCGAGATAAGGTTTAGGCCCCTCTAAAGTGGTCCACCCTGTACTAACTGATTTCCGCAATGTACTACTGAGAATTCAAGGGGAAATCCACACGGTCAACAAATTCGAGTACAAGCGAGCAAAACGTGTCTGCAGTAGTTTTTGAGCAAAATGAATACAATGAAAGTGCTAAATACAAGATCTTCTATTTAAAAAAAAACTGAGTTTTTTAATTGTTTTGTTTACTTGTTTTAAATGTTCAATACATTTTAGTCATAGTTATCAACCACTTATCCTTATCCCCTTCAAAATACTCTCCATTACAACTAATACATTTGTTCCATCTTTGGCTATAGCCGACAGCTCATTCCTCGTTTTTTTCTTGACCTCTTTAATGTTGTCAAATCGCTGTCCTTTCATGTCCCTTTTCATACGTAGAAATAAGAAGTCACACGGAGCGAGATCAGGCGAGTAAGGTGCATGGGCAGAGGAACCATCGCATTTTTAGCCAAAAACTGCTTAACAGAAATGGGTGTGTGTGCAGGTGCATTAAAGTGGTGAAAGAACCAGTCCCCTGTCCGCCACAAATCGGGTCTTTTTTGTCGAATACTGTTGCGCAATCTTCTTAAAACTTCCAGATAAAAAGCTTGATTAACGGTCTCACCTGCTGATGATGTTGATAAAGCAAATCAGCATCCTTTTGATGTTTGATTTGACCTGATGACATTTTTTTGGACGGGGAGGCAGTGACGTCTTCCATTGGTTGGACTGTTGCTTCGTTTCTGGATCGTAACCATAGCACCATGACTCGTCACTTTGAAAGAAAATCTGGATCCGTTTCAAGCTGTTGATTCAAAGCACGACATGTTTCAACTCGATGTTCTTTTTGCATGTCAGTCAGAACACGAGGAACAAACTTGGCAGCAACTCTTTTCATTCCCTAATCTTGGGTTAAAATTCGCTGAACCGTGCTTCAAGACAATCCACTAATCTTTGATAATTGTTCAATAGTCTGTCGACGGTCTGAGAGCACAAACTCTCGAATCTTCTCAATATTTTCGTCGATTCGAGCTGTTGATGGACGTCCAAAACGAGGTCGGTCATCAATTGACTCGTCGCCATTTTTGAAGCGAACAAACCACTGGTACACTTGAGTTTTTCCCATCGCATCGTCTTTATAAGCTGTTTTTAACATTGAAACAGTTTCAGCAGCACTTTTACCGAGCAGAAAACAAAAGTTCACAGCTGCACGTTGTTCTTTTAAACTTGCCATCGAAAAAAACGAAGTAACAAAAAAACAGCGTTAACAAAAAATGGCACTGCAAGTGAACAAAACAAGTTAAATTTAAAACGAAGGTGGCGTTGAACCCGCAATAAGTTGTACTATTCACAACCTAGCGGCAGGAAGGTGTACTATACAAGCTATGCGCGCGGCAATTCAATTCCTGTTTTTTATGGGTACCTCCTCGTATATACTAGGGCAACCCCTTTTGCGTGTATTTTTCTTCCTCATTTTCGTACTTATTGAGACAAGCTATGGGAGTATCTTAATGTATAGCCTTCCTCAATCTTCATCGTGTTGGCTTTCGGTGTAAACAAGACAACACAAATAAAAGTCGATTGTTGTTAATTGTGTTGTTGTTAATTCCATTGTGCTTTGCACAGTATTTTACTTCTACCTAATTCTAATTTTAACTTTCAAACTTAACAGCATGTTTTCAATGCTTTAACTTGTGGCCTATTATTTAACAAACGCCTGGTATAATAATAAGTATGTACACAATGATAGATGGTGCACTTACATTGAAATGCTCTTTATACAGATTAGTTACTAATTGGAGTACGAATAATCTGATTGGGAGTTTTCTTTTTTGTAACATCCCTTTTTTTTCCAGTGGTATTAATATCTATTACAGAAAGCCAAAAATTTGACGTTTTACATTTGCTTAACTCTTTTTATTTTGTAATTACCTACTACAAGATGGTGCGTGTTTTATTCTTATCGTGTTCCAGTATTTACATTTCATACGGTTGCGAGATTAAATATTTAATACCTGCTAATTGGTAGCGGCAATGGCTGATAGTACTGTATTTTTTTTTGGTATTCTAATTAGCCTTCTAGTAGCCGTCATAAAGATTGCTTTGTCGAATCAAAGAAAGTCGGCCGTACATCGACGAATAGCACTAGAAAAAATTAAGGATCCAATAATAAAGGCTGAAATGTGCGACGAAATAAACACACAAATCCAGACAATAACAACAAACATTGGGGAAGAGCCTACGCAATCTTGGACAGGGATGATGGACATTGTAAGAAACTCAATGCAAAACAGATTAGGTTATAAAGCAAAGAACAAAAAACAAAGATGGATGACCGATGAAATTTTGTTTTTAATGGATGAACGTCGAAAACATAAAAACGAAACAGACGGCAGCACGTACAAAGATATTCAAAGACTTATAAGATCAAAGATTAGAATAGCAAAAAACGAATGGCTCAAACAGGAATGCCTTGAGATAGAACAACTACAAAATCAGCACGACGATTTCAATCTGCACAAAAAGCTGAAGGAGACTGCTGGCATATATAAAAAAATGAGACCAAATATAACAGTTGATAATAATAACCATATAGCCCTCGATACCAATGAGAAAATCAATGTTTGGGAAAAGTATATAGAAGAACTTTTTGACGATGAAAGACCCCCAGTTAGTATTGATAACACCCTAACTGGTCTATCGATTACTAAAGACGAGATTGAAAAAGCTATACGTAACTCAAAAAACAACAAAGCGGCTGGCCCAGACGAAATTCCTTCAGAGATGCTTAAACTACTCGATGAAAGAGGCATCACAGGACTACATAAAATATTTAACACTATCTATGAGACAGGTCATTATCCCAAACAGTGGCTGCCCTCTACTTTTATCCCCCTGCCTAAGAAGACCAATGCAAAAAAATGTGAAGATTACAGGCTTATTATTAATACCAAAAAAACAAAATTCATGATCATATCCAGGAATCTAAACACGTTTCAAAACTCCACCATAACATTTAACGCTAGACCCATAGAAAGAGTGGACAAATTCAAGTACTTGGGTACCTGGCTTTTCGAAGACTGGACATCGGACAACAAAATAAAATACCGTATAGAACAGGCCCGAGAAGCTTTCTTGAGGTTCAGAAGAGTGCTAACCTGCTCCGATTTTGACCTTGACCTAAGAATGAGATTCGTGAAATGCTACGTTTGGTCGGTGCTCCTTTACGGCATGGAGGGGTGGACACTGAAGACAACTACAATAAACAAATTAGAGGCCTTTGAGATGTGGCTACACCGCAGAACTCTCAAGATACCCTGGACGGCTAGATTGACCAACGATGAAATTCTAAGACGTGTTAACAAACCACGTGAACTTTTTGAATCAATTAAGAAGA